ATCTAGGAGGTCCAGATCTTAGCCTGCCTAATCTTGGCTAGACTTCACTTGAACCCCAAAGCTACAAGGAGTGAGAATGTGAAGAACTGCGGAATGTTTCCATCTGACTGTTGACGAGCAGTAGCAGGAGACGTGGGCAGAGGCCGTCACAAGCATGACCATATGAGCAGCGGCAAGGAGTTCGGGCTTTGTGCTAAAGTCAGTGAACCCACTCTCTAGAAGAGGGTGTGGAAGTGAGGGAGAGGTTGGTCATGAGGCAATACAGTATGCCAGCCAGGGGAGGGCCGTGATCTGGTAAGGTCTTGCCAATAGAGATGACAGAAGTGTGGGACACTACCAGATCAGGAAAGAGAGCTGACAGGACTTAGGAATCACCCGCACATGTGGAACTTGGGGGTGGAGGGGATATGAGTCCTATGACCACCTCCTGAGTATGTGCGTGCTGTTCTATACACAGTTTAAGAGGGACTGGAGTTAAATTCAGGGTTCTGTGCATTCTAACTAAGCAAACACTCTACAGCTGAGCTACATCCTCAGACCAGTACTGCATGTGAGTTTTATTCGATTTAATTTATCTTATTTAATTACACATGCTTTAAAAAGCCAAAGCAGGCTGGTGAGATGACTCAGCCAGGAAAAGTTCCTGCCACCAAAACTGACAACCTGGATTTGACACCCAGAACCACATGTTAGAAGAAAAGACTGACCCCTCCCCCCAGCAACAAGTTGTCCTCTGACCTCCACATGTGAACTTTGGCATGTGCATGTGCACTCAAATGCACACACACAAAATGTGACGTTATTTTTTTATTTTACAAATGTAATTAAAAAGTAAAGTTAGAGAAAGAGAAAGAGACATACAGGTGAAATGATGTGGTGTTTGGGATGGAGTTTTGAAGTGTTGACCCTCTAGACACGATGCAGACATTAAGCTCTTGGTAGAGCAATGTATGTGGGGCAAATGCAAACAGGAAAATTCTATCTCTCTTGATTTTTCTGTTATTGTAAGACTCTCTTCAAAAATAGTTTATGTAGCCCAGGGTAGTGGTGCACACCTTTAATCCCAGCATTCAGGAGGCAGAGACAGGTGAATTTCTGAGTTCAAGCCTAGCCTGGTCTACAGAAGGAGTTTCAGGACAGCCAGGACTACACAGAGAAACCCTGAATCAGAGAGAGAGAGAGAGAGAGAGAGAGAGAGAGAGAGAGAGAGAGAGAGAGAATTTAGTAAGAGGACTACATAAAAAATAGGTATATAAAATCAATAGTGATGATAAATGAAGCAACAGTCAATTATACGAAGCAAATAACAGAAGATGATAAATCCGGACATGGTGGCACAACCCTTTAATCCCAGTACTCAGGAGGTAGAGGCAGGCAGATCACTGAGTTCAAGCCCAGCCTGATCTGTAGAGCCAGTTCCAGGACATCCAGGCCTACACAGAGAAACAGTGTGTGCACAGGTCTGCAGAAGGTGCTCTGTGTATGTGCTGTGCCTGTTAGCTTGGTGTTTTGTGCGTCTCCTGACTTTGGGAGTGGGTGTGTTTCTGACTCTTTTGCCTGTCTTTGGGACTCTTTTCCTCCTGTTGGGTTGCCTTGTCCAACTTTGGTGTCTTGTCTTATTGTATTTTATTTTGTTTGTATTTGGTTGTCTCTTTGAGGCCTTCTCTTTTCTGACAGAAAGGGAGTGGACCCAGGGAAGAGGGAAGAGGGGTGATGGGAGGAGTTAAGGGAGGAGAAACTGTGGTTGGGATGTGCTATATGAGAGAAGAATCTGATTCAATAATATATATAATAAAATTAAAAGACAATAAAATAAGAATAAACTTGCAAGATGTGGCAGTTTGAATGTAATTGGCCCCCATAAACTCATAAGGAGTGGCACTATTAGGAGGTGTGGCTTTGTTGGAGTAGGTGTGGCCTTGTTGAAGAAAGTATGTCACTGTGGTGGTGGGTTTTGAGGTCTCATATATGTTCAAGCCACACCTAGTATCTCAGACCACTTCCTGTTGCCTGTGGGTCAAGATGTAGGGACTCTCAGGTCCTGCTCCAGCATCATGTGACACCATGAAGATAATGGACTAACCCTCTGAAAATATAAGTCACCCCAATTAAATTAAATGGTTTCCTTTTGTAAGAATGTTGTCTCATCACAACATTAGAAACCCTAAGACACAAGATAGCCAATATTTATTGAGCATTTGTGTGTGTGTGTGTGTGTGTGTGAGAGAGAGAGAGAGGAGGAGGAGGAGGAGGAGGAGGAGGAGGAGGAGGAGGAGGAGGAGGAGGAGAGAGAGACAGAGACAGAGACAGAGACAGAGACAGAGCGTGCTTCATGTAACTTAGGCTGGACTAGAACTCATTATATGGCTAAGGCTGACTTTGAACTCCTGATCCTTCTGCCTCCTTCCCAAGTACTGGGATGAGAGGCATGTACCACCTGGTTTCTTCAGTTCTAGGGACAGAGCCTCCCACATACCAAGTGAACCCTCTACCCACTGAGCCCCACCCACCTCCAATATTTATAAGAACATATTAAACCACTTTCTTTGGGATGGAGGATATAACTCATTGGTGGAGCCCTTGCCTAGCAACCCCCACCACAGCCCAACACAACAACAACAAAGATAAAGAAAAAGAAATTGGCCATGGTACCATTGCTGTATAGCCCTTGAGACTGTCCACAAGGCGTCACCAGCTTCCAAGACACTACAGGAGGCTGCAGGCAAAAAGAGGAAAAAGAAGTCAGTGCTGTAACAACTGGGGTTTGTGCTAAGATGCCTTGGCCTGAAAGCCCAGCCTCTGAGAGCCTCCTGCATCAGCGCCAGTCCTGACCCTGTCCTGAGGCCTCGCTGCACGGAGCTGTCCAGATTTCCAAGGACTCTTAGGGCAGCCTCCTGAGTCTTAGCCCACCCTCCACAGACCACACAAGCACAGGACCAGGGACTGGCAGTCGGGAGATGTCCTCGAGCTTCTTCTTTCTCCTTTTTGACGAAGGAGAGGTTGGGGCCCGGAAAGAAAAGGCCGTTCCCAACAGATCACAGAGCTCACAGCCAAACCAGGACTACACCTCGGGTCTCCAGGCTCTTCTGCTCCTGCCTGCCTTTCTTCTTCTTCCTTCCCTCCTTGTCTCCTCTTTTTCTCTGTCTGGGATCTTGAAACCTTGAATTTGATAGTGGCAGTCAGCTCAAAAAGTGTCTTCTTAGGGCCAGTGAGATGGTTTAATGGCAAAATGCTTTCTGTGCATGTCTGAGGACCTGAGTTTGATCCCCAGAGCCCATGTGAAGGCTCAAGGAAAAAATCAACTCCACAGAGTTGTCCTCTGACCTCCACATGCTCACCTGGGTACATATTCACAAACACACATACATACACACATGCACATACACACATGTATATACACACATTCCCACACACATACACATGTACATACACACATATATACAGTCACATACACACATATTCACATACACACACTTGCACATACACACACAAACACACACATTCACATAGACACACACTCATAACACTGAAAAGAAAATCAGAGTCTGTTGAGTTGAATCACCAGGTAAAAGCATTTGCTGCCAAATCTGACAATCCCTGGGACTTAAACACTAGGAAGAGAAAACAAACTCCCACAAGCTGTCATCTGACCTCCACAACTGCACCACAGCATGCACACACACACACATTGAAGAGGGAGGTCAATGGAATATGGAATATAATATATTTATTTACCAGAGAAAGAACTTACACACAAGCTGAAAGGTCAGAAGCGTGGCAGGCTTTCAAAGATAGCAAGAAAGTACTTTTCTTTTCCTTCAATAGCCCACCTGTGCTAATCTCCCTATCCCCGCCCTTGTGGGTGGGTAGTTTTGTGGGCTCACCCCTAAAACACTATATACATATAGTGTTGTGTGTGTATATATATGTGTGTGTACATATATACATATATTTGTGTGTGTACATATATACATACATAATTTTGTTTATTTTAAGTACCCTCCTTCAGTGCAGGGCCTCGTGCCCAGCAGGCCAGCACTCTCCTACTTGAGGCATATGACCAAACACAGAGCCTTTCTCCTGACCAGTAACCTCCCTCCTTCGCATGACCTAACAATGTTAGAGCTCTGAGGGAAAAGGCTTCCCCAGTGGAAGAGTTACAGCTCTGCCCCTGCTGGGGTTGGGTGGCAGCTTCCCCAAAGGGTTACAGCTCTGAAGGGAAAGGTATCCTGGCAGTCAGGAGCCAAGGAACACTGCAAAGTCACACAAGAGATGTATTGAGAGGAAAGAACCCAGGGGGTGGCTGCCTCAGCAGCAGAGAACTGGGAAGAAGACAGGGTTTACATAGTTTCTTGGGGGTGAAGCTTCCCAGGGTAGGGATCGGTGGGATTTCAAATCTTGATCTTTGGGTGAGCCCAAGGAATGATGGGATTTCAAGTTCAGGGATTGATGGGGTTTTCAAACCCAAAGCTTGGCTGCCTGTGTCTTTAGGGGCTGGGTTCAGCCATTATAGCAGTTGACTGTCTTGTTGGCAGAGTCTGGAAGTTGGAGGTCCTCAGGGGAGGGGGCCTGGTCACTCACTAGAGTGCCTCGAGGGGCTTACACGTATGCTACTTGGCCACTATTTAGGGCAAAGGCATGCTGCTGGCTATAAAACCCCAGGGAATGTGGTAGGGAAATCCAACCAGAATTTCTAGCTTGCACAACCTGGACAGACCTGAAGAAAGTAAGTCTGCCCACAGCCTTTGATCTGCATGAGGCTGTGATCTGAAACATGTCCCCTGGCCTCCCTCCTACTTGCCTCTGAGTTAAGACAGCATACTCAAGCATAATCTCTGTCCAAAACACAGTAACATAGGCACTGCCATGGTCCTTCACCCACAAAAAACTTTTGAAGAGACTGTGGGGCTGTGTGACCCATGCTACTGCGGAAATTTTATACGCATGCTCCACCCAGTACAGAGGCAAGAGGCAAGGAGCAAAGTCCTGGAGGAGGGGAGACTAGGCAGAGGCAAAAAGCCAGACACCTGGGACACACACCATCTAGAGCCGGTATCATGGAGGTCCTCGTTCCGTTTCTGCAACTGCTGGTGCTGATCCTGACTCTTCCGCTGCACCTGCTGGCTCTGCTGGGCTACTGGCAGCCCGTGTGCAAAACCTACTTCCCCTACTTGATGGCCACGTTAACAGAAAGGGCCAACAAGAAGATGGAAAGCAAGAAACGGGAGCTATTTAGCCAGATAAAAGATCTTAAGGGGACCTCCGGGAAAGTGGCCCTGCTGGAGCTGGGCTGTGGCACTGGTGCCAACTTCCAGTTCTACCCACCTAACTGCAAGGTCACCTGCGTGGACCCAAACCCCAACTTTGAGAAGTTCCTGACGAAGAGCATGGCTGAGAACAGGCACCTCCAGTACGAGCGCTTCGTCGTGGCGTACGGAGAGGACATGAGACAGCTGGCGAGCAGCTCCATGGACGTGGTGGTCTGCACCCTGGTGCTGTGTTCTGTGCGGAGCCCGAAAAAGGTCCTGCAGGAAATCCAGAGAGTCCTGAAGCCGGTGAGCACAGCAGGAAGGGTGTGAGCCTGGGGCAGCCGAACACAGCAACGGCAGCTCCAGAGTTCAGGAACCCAGATGGGGAAGCTGATGTAGCCCACCCTCTGGCGGCAGACTGTGCCATCCGAGTGGTCCATCGCCTATGACACCAGGCCTATTCTTGTAGATAGGAGATCTGCGTGGGGCACACTAGGATGCTATGGAAACACAGGGAAGTATTGCTTAGTACAACGGTGCGGGGAGCTGGGAAGATGCTGCAGACAGTGAGGTTTAAACATCTGGTATGGAGGAGGTTGGGGGAATAAAAGTGTCCAAGTAGGGGGAACAGAAGGCTTCGAGTAGAAGTGTTAGGGGGAGCAGAGTCTCTGAGACCTTGAGCTGTGTGGGGAAAAAAAGGAATTTAGGATAATTTCCAAAGTTTCTGGCTTGCACAACCGAAGGGAGAGAGTGGATGAAATGGCCACCTCCTGGGATGGGAAAACTCTGTTCTGGATGTGTTGGGTCTCCAGATCTGCAAAGCTATCTGTGCAGAAAAGCCACACGGGTCATTTAGAAGTTCATGTCTGGAAGTCAGGACAAGATGTGGCCTGGAGAAAGAGCTATGACCCCCTAGTGGTAATTCAGTGTGGGAATTAATGAATCCCCTGGGAAGAGGATCTTGAGGGAGTCCTGCTGTAGTCAGAACCCTGGGTGGGGTGTCTTGGTTGTGCTGGACACCAGAGTCTCAGGAGAGGCTGGGTCCACGTCTCTGTCTATCAGGTTTGTCTAACCCACAGCTCCTGGTTAGCTGTGAAAGTGGCCCAGCACAAACCTGTAAATTTATTTAAAATACGATGAGACTTTCTTGTGTGACTTTTTACAACCTAGTCACAAAGCTCTTGACCATGAACATGGTAGACAAGAGTCGTGTCACCACGCTGGAAGGTTACAGGCCTGGAAGAACCCTCAGCTGCCCCTGCTCCCTACTGTCCTGTCGTTCTACAGAGACCTCTCACCAGCCATGGCCGCCCAGTTACCAAAAGTCCTTATGCGCCCTGTGGGGAGGTCAGGAGCTGGACGTACAATGTCAGGGGCAGGGGTCCCATGAACTCTCAGGTCAGAAGCCCTGACTTCAGAGAGATCTGGCAAGCTGGGTCTGAGAGAAGGAAGGGGGCATGAGACAAAAACAGAGTAAGTGACCTTAACTCCCTCCTTCCTCCCTCCCAGGGAGGACTGCTGTTCTTCTGGGAGCACGTGACTGAGCCTCCCGGAAGCTGGGCTTTCCTGTGGCAGCAAGTTTTCGAGCCTACGTGGAAACACATTGGGGATGGCTGCCACCTCACCAGAGAGACCTGGAAGGACCTAGAGAAGGCACAGTTCTCTGACATCCAAATGGAATGGCAGCCCCCTCTCTTCAAGTGGTTACCTGTTGGGCCCCACATCATGGGGAAAGCTGTGAAATAGCCCTCCACAAGGAGGTTACCTCCCTGCCTGTAGTCAGAAGCCGCCCCCAGTCAGGTAAAGAATGAGAGAACATCCTGGGCACCACTGCTGCCTCCAGGGTGACCGTTAACCTCAGTTCCTCAACACAGTTAGGCTGTCTTCCTGCCTTGGTTTTGTTTTGTTTTGTTTTGTTTTGTTTTGTTTTTTCAAGACAGGGCTTCTCTGTATTGTTTTGGAGGCTGTCCTGGAACTTGCTCTGTAGACCAGGCTGGCCTCGAACTCAGAGATCTGCCTGCCTCTGCCTTCCGAGTGCTGGGATTAAAGGTGTGTGCCAACACCCAGCCTTTCTTCCTGCTTTCTCCAGAGGCATAAAACTATACAGTGCCGTACTGTCAACTGCAGAGCCCTGGACTTTGCCCACCGTCCTGGACCTCTACCCTCCCTTTCCCTTGTCCCTGGGGTAAAGTTCTCCCTGCTGTTTCTTCTGATACTACCCACATGTACCTTGTCCCTGTGGTAAAGTTCTCCCTGCTGTTTCTTCTGCCGCTACCCACGTGTACCTTGGAACTAGTCACGTGTCAGTGCCAGGCCACCTTGGCCTCCCTCTGAAGGCCAGGGTGTAATGATTTACTAGACCCAAGATAAATGATAAACGGGTGTTTACTGGGGAACACTTACACAGATAATAAAGAACCACAACCATGGGAGCATTTCTCTGCCCTTCCCATCGGATCCACTCACTGACCCAAGAGAAAGAGCCTGAGAGAGGCCACGCCTCACACTTTCCTCTTCCATCCACCTGAAGCCACGCCCAAAGGGGGTGTGGCCACTGTTACAGGTTCACAGGCAAGACAAGCTACAGTTCCCCCTTTAGTCTAAAGAAGGTTCTAAGACTGATGCAAAAACTATATACAATGCTAACAAATGTCAAGTATATTCGAGGAAAAGGAAAGGTAAACATACACAAATTAAAGCCTACTACCAGCAAGAGCAACACTGAGCAACAGGTACATGCCACAGCCCTCACTACTACCCACTCTGTCCTGAGCTTCAGAGGACAGAAAGAAGCCAAACCTTCAAGATGAAAGAGCAGCACTCAATAAAGCCACCAGAGTTTTTATCGTCAAATACTTTTTAATAAATAGACAAAAACCACTAGGCTGGAACAGCACACTAAGGTCAGAGGACAGGGAGGACTAGAGAGGGAAGAGCCCCTGAGACAGTGACACGATCTCCTCCCTGGCCCTCTGTCTAAGGCACTTTGGGGAAGACATGTTACACAGGGCGGGTGAGAGGAGATCAGAACCCCTACTCCCGATCCTGCATCAGGACGTGCCTGCCCTCCCGGCCGCGCCCCACAGCCCATCCCTGATATGCCCCCTCGTCTCACAGCATTCTAAGGGGAAGTAGGAGAGGGGGTTCTCACAGTGGGAGAGGTCTGTGCCCCTGAGGAAGTAGAGCCTGCCATATCTCAATGTGACACCAAAAACCTCCTCCACTATCTCCATCCCAAGGAGCCATCTTGGCAAAGGGTGGAAGGGACACACAAGCCTGGAACAAGGGAAGTTAGGCAGTGACTGGCACGGGAGTTCCATCAGGACCCAGATCAGGGTGCCAGTCAGCATCCAGGATGGGGTGCGCATCAGAGCCCTCCCACTGGGAGCTGCCCCAGTTACTCCTCTGGATGGTGCCTGTCTTCTCCTCCTTGAACTGCTGTCGGTCTTCCCGGAGGATCTTTACCGCGTGGTACTGGGGCACAGCAGCCTCGGGGTGCTTGGTGCGCTTGAAGAATCCCAGCTGTAAGGACACCAAGACAGGCTGTGAGCAGCCTGCAGGGCTGAGGCCCTTTCAAACGCCTCACCATCCCTGAGCTGGAAAGAACCGGCTGAAACAACAGATACCCTGGCCGGATTCCAGCACAGTGGGCAGCCAGCTCCCAGCTTGCTGCCATCAGTACCAGGGTCCCGGGTTCTCATTCACAGCCAGAGGAAGGCCAAATGGAAACCCCAGGTGCAAAGCCCAGGAAATCGCCCTTGGTCCCTGGAAGAGAGGCTTGAAGCTGCACATCAGGACCTCCCACCCAAGCTTCTTAAAAGCCTCAGATGTCCCAGATCTCCCGAATATCCAGAATGATGACCCATAGACATACACCTGTGTGCTTGTACGACAAACAGCAACCCCTTAGGCCAGAGCCCTTGCATCCATGAACATCAAGGTGGTGTTGGGCCCCTTGCATACTGAAACTCAGAACAGCCAAGACTCCTGCATGCTCAGACAGCACAGGACCCCTAGCACAATCATCTCCACACAGAAAAGACATGCATGGGACCCCGCATGCTGACAGTCCTAGCCTACTCACTACCTGTGCATGCTGGGCTATGTATGTTCACAATTATAATCCCACCCTTGGAGTTACTCCTTACCTCAAATATTCAGACCCTCCTCACCCTTGTACCCAATTCCTCTCTTTACCCTGCACACTCCTGACCACCTCCCTTTCCAATGCTGGATCTGCACTTACACACACATACACACACACGTTTGCATACACACATGCACACAAAGCAGTTACCCCACAGTCCCTGGACCCCCAACTTCCATGGCCGAGGGCTGCACGGCCAGGTGGGCTCGGTGATAGTTGGTTGGAACTGATGAGCTTGGACTGTTCCGATGGAAGAAGCCACACTGGGATGTTGGGGGAGAAGGGGAAAGAGGCAGAGGATGGGGAGGCTGAGGAAGGAGGGGGCCTTTATATCTGCCTGTCTCCCTTCTATGGGAGTAGTGGATGGGACAGGCAGGCATCCTGAGGCCAATCCTGAAGGTATTAATCATCCCCAGGACAGGGCAAGTTCTCTGTGGCATTGATGACACACCAGAGCTGGTTCACTGATGAGGCACACTTGTCAAATAGCAGGTGGGCATGGCAGTCTACAGAGTCCCAAGGATGTGTTTGGTTCTGCGCAAGCCCCATGAGTAGCATGTGGCTCAGGGATGGACCCTGGTGGAACATGTGATCCCCTGCACTGACATATGCATGTGTGTGCTTTTATGTTGAGTCAATAGGAGTCTGTTACAGCTCTGCAGAACAAGAACAATTCGTATGTGGCAGCTCCCAGCAGTTCCTTGGATCTAGTCTCCAACGTTGCCAGCCTTGATCATAGCTCCCTTCCCAACCTTGGCTGCCGTACTCTGGCTGAAGCGGACAACCTTTATCCGCCTTGGTTATTCTGGAAGTCTCACATCCACTCATGCCATCTACCCGCATTCCTATCCTGCCACTTCACCATCTAAGGCCCAGCTCCAGGAAACCACCCTCCAAAGACTTCCTTCCTCTGTGTTCCAAACTCAACCCCTCTGCCTTGTCCTTAACTACAAGACTCCACTAGACTACACAGTCCTTGAGGACAAGATCTGCACTGGAGTCAGCTCTGAAACATCCAGATGGAGTTCCCGGGGCATACACGGTAAGTGCTTAATAGAGTTGCTACATAAATGCATGTGTGGGTGAGCGGCTAGCCACCTTACTCTAATCCGGGTTCACACTGGTTCCATCCCTCCCCAAGCCTCACCTTCCACAATAGCAACACCAGCAGGGCCAGCACCAGCAGCCCAGCCAGAACTGCCAGGAGGATGACCCACCAGGGGACACCTTCGGCAACCACAGCCACAGGGTCCAAGTACACCATTACTGGGATCTGAGAAACAAGAAGTTAACCGGGCAAGAGCTGGAGAGAGTGGGAGGGGGAGAGCCCCTACCCACCCCATCCTCCAGCCTGACATCTCACCGTTGTGGATGCATCTCTAAGCAGCAAGTTCTTGATAGAGGACTTCACTGTGATGTTGGCTCGGACAATCACTTCCAGGGACTTCACAGCTATGTACTCCTAATGGATCGGGAAAGAGGCCTCTAAACGCCCATGTTCCTTCCCCTCAACCCTCCCCGGCCACTGAGATTACAAACAGAACGGTGCCAGTGCAGAAGGCGTCTCTGCCTGGCTTTGCTTTAAAAGGTGCTGCATTTGGACAGAAGGGGTTAAAATAAGCTGAGGGGGGGGGTTGCAGAAGTCACCTGGCCTGGAAGCCCAGCAGTGCCCTCACCTCCAGGAAGGTACTGTTCCAGAGGCGGCCCCAGACATGCAGCACGGCCACACGGTCAAAGCTGTAGAGTGGGCAGCTGAACACCACACACTTGGCTGTGCCCTGGGCGCAGTCCTAGGGACAAGGATATTCAGGACCCTGAGCCAACAGGCCCATGAGTCTGCCGTCTCTCCCATGCCCCTCATCTGACCTTGAACTCCTCTCCTCCAGGAAGTCTTCCCAACCTAACCCTCTGGCCCAGATAGCTACCTACCTCAAATCTGGACTACTTGGCTTTGAAACACACTGGGAGGGGTCTTTCACATCCTAGCGACAGGAAGAGTAGCTTCCTGAGTTGATACCTACTCAACTTATTGTCTCAATTATTAAGCACCCAGTGCCCACCTCAGTTAAGCTCCAAATCTCCGGCCAGGTGCTTCTTTTTGAGCCAGAGTCTCGCTGTGTAACCCAAACTAGCCTGAAATTTATTTTATTCTTCTACCTAGACTTCTAAGTGCTGGGATTGATCTGATGTGGGCCGCTGTGCCTGGCATCAGTGTTTTTCAGAAGAAGAAACTGAGTCTTAAGGGAAGCCACCAACCTGCTTCAGGTCACAGAGCTAGCAAAGCTATCCAGTGGTGCCAGACACGGTGGCGCACGCCTTTAATCCCAACCCTCAGGAGGCAGAGACAGATGGATCTCTGAGTTCGAGGCCATCAGGGACTACAGAGTGAGTTCCAGGACAGTTGGGGCTACACAGAGAAACCCTGACTTGAAAACCCACATATATACATATATAATATATGAGATATTATATGAGGTGAAATGAGCCAGGTACAGATAGAAAAATGTCACATGATCACCCAAACGTGGACTCTAAAGAAGGCGCTGCACACATGTGGTTTACATACATGTATGCAGGCAAAACAGTCATGCACATAAAAAAATTTTAAATAATAAAATTGTTTAAAAGACAAATAAAGACATTAAAAAGTAAATAATGAATACAAGCACAGGGACATACGCCTGTGATTCCAGCATCTAAGAAATAAGAAGATTCCAATTTGGAGGGACACCCAGGCTGCATAGCACGACATCCCTTCATCTCTCAAAAGAACGAAGAGCTGGCCGGGCGTTGGTGGCGCACGCCTTTAATCCCAGCACTCGGGAGGCAGAGGCAGGCGGATCTCTGTGAGTTCGAGGCCAGCCTGGTCTACAAAGCGAGTTCCAGGACAGCCTCCAAAGCCACAGAGAAACCCTGTCCCGAAAAACCAAAAAAAAAAAAAAAAAGAACGAAGAGCTGGGCAGTAGTTCAGTAGTAGAGTGTTTGTCTGGCATAGGCCCTAGTTTGGTCTCCAACCCTGCTAAGTAAAGAGAGAACACACTGTATTTTATGGAATGGTGCTCTGCTTGATTCTAAAATAAAAATAAGCACAATTAATAAGTAACCAGATATGGAGGCATATGTTTGTAATCCTAGCCCTGTGAAGGCTGAGATGGCATTGCGATGAGTTCAAAACTGTTTTAAACTGGGAATGGTGGCACATGCCTTTAATGCCAGTACTCAGGAGGCGAGAGGGTCTCTGTAAATTCAAGGTCAGCGTGGTCTACATAGCAAGTTCTGGGCCAGCCAGAGAGACCCTGTCTCCAAATAAAAGAAAAAAGGGGGGGAAAAAACTATGTTACTAAATAAAAACTATTTCAAAGTTCTTGTTAAACAGGGAGTCTCTCGGAGCTGTCAGTCCCGTGGAGAAGGCGGGACTGGGTGTATAACACAGCAGTAGCTAGTTCCAGATGCACAGCCTGCCTACGGGTTGGGTATCAGAGGGGCACGGGGAGGCTTCCGTTCAGAAAAAGGATGAGGTGTGACAGAGTTCACCAACTGCTTCCAGTCACTGGCCAAGATCTCCGGGGCTGTCCTGATCATGCTGTCTAGGCTCAGCTCCACCCACAGTGTCTCTAATGACATCTGTACCACATTCTCACTGTAAGCACACCCCCCCAGGAGGAACAAGCACAGAGCGTTCAACAAATCCAGCTAAACACCAAAACTATGTGGGAAAGTGGGAGGCAAAACCGTTCCAAGCGGATAGACAGCTTAACCAATCTTGTGTATATACTTAATTATGAGAACATGGAATCATAATCTTAACTGTGAGAACAGGAAATGCTGAACCTGGTGCCTCATGTCTGAAATCCCAGCACTTAGAAGGTGGCGCACACCTCTGATTCCAGCACTCGGGAGGCAGAGGCAGGCAGATCTCTGTGGCACTGTCATTGGCCAGCCTGGTCTACAGAGTGAGCTCCAGGACAGTCAAAGATACACAGAGAAACCCGGATTCCGGGGGGGAAAAAAGGTGGCAGCAAGAGGCTGAGTCCACCCCGGCCCTTATAAAATGTGTTTTATATAAATGAGCAGGATTGGTTGCTTGGCTACCGAGCTGGCCCTGGTGTAGACACTGGGAGTTGCAGGGTCTGAGGTGTCAGGAGCTGCCTCACAGATACCATCTGGCTCCAGCTGGGTTGCAGACTGAATGACTGTTTGTCCCTGGTGTTTGAGCACCGTGTGCCTTGTCAGTCTGATCTTCACAGACACCCAGCTCCGACATCCTGTGCACCTGTGATGGCCTCCTCTACCGCACATGAACCCCCACTGTGGCTGGGCTGTGGTCGCCCTGCCCTCACCAGGGTGACGTTTCTCTTCCTCTCAGCAGAGGACACTGGCCACCAGGATGTGCTGCTGGGCTCCAGCTTCTCTGGAGGCTCCTGCGGCTCCCGCTGCTCCTGCTCCAGCTCTCGCCGTCTCCTATCCCTGCTGTCCACATCCTGGACAGGGAAGAGGAAGGAGCAATGAGAGTCACCCCAAATACCACAGCCCTACCACCCACACACAACACACACGCACGCACGCACGCACGCACACACACGCACACACGCACGCATGCACACACGCGCGCGCACACACGCGCACGGGCACACACGCACACACGTATGCATGCACACACACGCGCGCACACACGCACACACACGCTTCGTGACACCGCTCCCATGTTCCACCGGGCCCGCCCTGCCTGAGTCTCACCAGGCGAAGGATGTTGGGTCTTGGAGAGCAGATCCCTTTCTTCCCAGGGCCCTGTCCGCCCTCCAGCTCCACCCGCATGGGGTACAGCAGCCACTTCCCATTGGCAATCTCGTGAGGCCACATGATGTTGAGGAAGGCAGAGCCCAGGGTGTTGAGCGACTGGCCTTGATTGGAGACCTGCGGGCCCAAAGCAATGAAGTTCAGATTCTGAGTGGACCCTGCTTCACAGAGAGAGAGGCAAGGCTGATGTGGAGGACACCTCGGGGAGCGCAGCCGCATCCAACGCTGCACAGTCTAGAGCAGACTGCGCATTGTTCTCTCCTTATACCCAACCAGGAAAATCTGGGCAAGCATGAGGGGATTGAGAACAAGCCAGGGCAAAGTGTTTTTTTAAAGATTTACTTATTTATTATGTATACTGTGGTCTGTCTGCATACATGCCTGCTGGCCAGCAGAGGGCACCAGATCTCATTATGGATGGTTGTGAGCCACCATGTGGTTGCTGGGAATTGAACTCAGATTCTCTGGAAGACCAGTCAGTGCTCTTAACCCCTGAGCCATCTCTCCAGCCCCAGGGCAAAATATTAATGAAAGCTATAGACACTGCTCAAGATCCCATTCCAGCTAAGGCCCCACCGGAGCCATCCCTCTGAGTTCTCAATGCCTGTCGGACCTGCAGGGGAGATGATGGCCTGTTCAGATGAGTCACTGAGACCCCAGCACCAGCATGTGCTTAGAGCTATGTCTGCCCTGTGCAGGGGCCTGGAAGCCCTGGAGCCTCTGCTTCTCTCTAACAAACAGACCACCCGAGAAAATGCTGATACCAAGAAGCCATGCTTGTCTCTGTTCTTTTGTTTCTAAAATCCTTTTTTAAGCTTTTGTCAGGTTCTATGTGGAAATTTGTTCAAGCCACATCTGGGCACCATTTTGTTGTAGAGGTTCTTTCTCACCAGCCCGCCGCCCCTGAACCCCAAATAAACTCACAGAGGCTATATTAGTTATAAAACTGTTGGCCGGTGGCTTGGGCTTCTTATTCACTAGCTCTGTCTTAATTATTAACCCATTTCTACCAATCAATGTATTTCCACGTAGTCTTGGCTTACCAGAGAAGGGTTCAGACCTGCTACTCCTTTGGCGGGTTACATGGCAACTGACTCAGGTGGGCTGTCCTGCCTACCTTTCCCAGACTTCTCCTCCTCTCCTACTTTCCTGCCTCATTGGCTATTGGCCCAACAGTGTTTTATTCATCAACCAATAAGAGAAACATATACAGAAGGACATCCCCCATCATTAGAGCCATGTCTGCCCAGGTCAGAGGCCTGGAACCCCTGGGCCACCACGCTGCCAGGTGGCAAAAGAACCCATACCTGGAGACATGTCTCAACGACCTCTTCTCTGGAGCCCGAGACAGGATGCTTACCGTGATCTCGTACTTGACTTTGCTGCCCACGTCTCTCTCAGATCTCATGGCACTCTCGCCCTTCACCACGCCAGAGAAGAAGAGTTGTTGGGGCGTGGCCACCCTGGTTCAGGGAGACGAGAAGAGGGCTGAGGAGGCCTGGGGTCCGGCCAAATGGAGCCATCCCAGAGGGTAAGGTAAGGCAGAGCCCAAGCCAGGGATTGGGAGTGGCAGACGGACCCACGCAAACCAACCCCTACCCTGAAATGGACAGCGGCAACTCAATGAAGACTTGAGCTCGAACAGAAACCGGATGCAGCTCCTGCTCACTGATCCTGGCGTGCAAACGTGGGAACGTGTGGGCACAGCGGGCACAGGAACCTCCACGAGGCACCTGAAGCCGTTCTAAGTAACCCAGCCTGCCCCCTCCCCCCTCCCCGAGTCTTACGTGGCCAACAGCAACTCCACCTCCAACTCTGTGGTCTCAATTGTAATTCCAGAGGTGCTGAGGAGGAGGTAGAAAGTGACCTGCCAATTGTGGGGCGACAGGTGAGTCAGGGGGGAGCCGGGTCGTAAGGATGGGCCACTTAGAGAAAAAGCTAGATATGCCAACCTGGGCACCTCTTTTCATAGGGTTCCCCAGCTCACATTCGACATGAGAGGCATTCTCGTTGGACACGCAGAGTGGCTTCTCCTGGATCAGGGAGGGAAGGACGGGTCAGTTTGGGTTGCTGAAGCCCGTAAGATCACACCCCATGCGAATACACACTAGAGGCTTACTCAGGCATTAGGAAGAGCAAATGCGTGTTGTATGCAGGAGAATGGATGGAATCGGAGATTGCCACAGGGAGCAAAACAAGCCAGACTCAGAAAGGCAAACATCACATTCTCTCTCATATAAGAAATCTAGCTGGGTGGTGGTGGTGGTGGCGCATGCCTTTAATCCCAGTACTCGGGAGGCAGAGGCAGGCGGATCTCTGTGAGTCTGAGGCCAGCCTGGTCTACAAGAGCTAAGTTCCAGGACAGCCTCCAAAGCCACAGAGAAACCCTGTCTCGAAAACCAAGAAAGAAGATGGAAGAGAAGAAATCTAGTTTTAATATATATGTGACACAGAAGTGGAAGGGGAACCGTATGGGGAGAGGAGGGCTCTAAACTAGGGATGAGTGGGGGGAGTGCAAGAAAGTAGGAGGGAAAATTAATACTGCATATTTTGTGGAATGTATTTGAAGCCAAGTGTGGTGGCACATGCCTGCAACCCTGACCCCAGGAAGGTGAAACAGGAGGATTCACAAGTTCAAAGACAGCTTGGGCTACAGAGAGATTGGTCTCAAATATATGCAAGGACCAAGCTTGGTACTTAGTGGTGTATTTCGTTAATCCTGACACTCTGGAGGCAGAGGCAGGTGGATCTCTGGGAGTTTGTGGCCAGCCTGGTCTACATAGCAGGCTCTAGGCCAGCCAAGGTCACATAGTAAGAACTCGTCTCAAACACATTCTCTCTCTCTCTCTCTCTCAAACACATTCTCTCTCTCTCTCTATCTCTCTATATATCTTTATCTATATATCTTTATCTCTCTCTATCTCTTTATCTCTCTCTATCTCTTTATCTCTCTCTATCTCTTTATCTCTCTCTATCTCTTTATCTCTCTCTATCTCTTTATCTCTCTCTATCTCTTTATCTCTCTCTTTATCTCTTTATCTCTCTCTTTATCTCTTTATCTCTCTCTTTATCTCTCTATCTCTTTATCTCTCTATCTCTTTATCTCTCTATCTCTTTATCTCTCTATCTCTTTATCTCTATCTCTTTATCTCTCTCTTTACCTTTCTCTATCTCTTTATCTCTCTCTATCTCTTTATCTCTCTCTATCTCTTTATCTCTCTCTATCTCTTTATCTCTCTCTATCTCTTTATCTCTCTCTATCTCTTTATCTCTCTCTATCTCTCTCTATCTCTTTATCTCTCTCTATCTCTTTATCTCTCTCTATCTCTTTATCTCTCTCTATCTCTTTATCTATCTCTTTATCTCTCTATCTCTTTATCTCTATCTCTTTATCTCTCTATCTCTATCTCTCTGTCTCTCACACACACACACACATGCACATGCATACACACACACACACACATGCAGAAGAGAGACTATGTTGGGAGGGAGAAATGATCTAAAGAGGAAATGGATAACAAGACAGGTTAATAGTGGAGGCAGAAAGAAATATCATGTTTTCTCCAAGAGTACACATAAGCTGCCTGGCGGTAGTGGTGCATGCCTTTAATCCCAGCACTCTGAGACAGAGGGAGAGTAATGGGAGTGACAATAATGAGCTAAGGACAGTGATATACAGGTTTGAAAATATCATAAGACCTATAACTACTAAAAAAAAAGTTCAGAAAGAAAAAAAATTAGAGGACCCACTGTGCCCTGCCCCAGGTTCTTACCACAGAGTCTGGGGCCCGGACGCCTGAGTAGTGCAACGAGGCTGGCAGGGTGACCAGGAGCTGGGCTTCATGGGCATCATCCCCATCTACCTGAGGGTGGGCCGGGTCCGAGGGCAGGTTGGTGACCGTCAGCTCCAGGCCTATGAATGGCTGCCCACTCAGTGCAAACAGGGCCGTTGTTCCGTCCGCATCACTGGAGGATGGGACCCAACTCACTGTGGGATCTAAACCTTGCACCTCCTCTCAGGCCCCAATCAGGTCCACGCTGTCTCCCCTCCCACCCCTCGTCCCTCAAACCACACAGCGCACAAATGAGTAAGGGGAACCTCCATCCTTACGCTAACTCCACCTCTGGGCTCTAACTCTCCATCCATAACATGGAGCCAATCATCCCCACCTCGCAGAGGACTGAGCGCGTGATGAAGTGCCCATAAAACACATGGTATTCATTACGCACACTGGGAGCGCTATTCTCTGGCCAGGACCCTGTGGTCCCATCCCTGACCCTCATCTCGGTCTTCTGAGTCAGAGCCCTTGTCTGACCCCTCTGGAGAGGCTCCCCCACCTGCTGAGGCCTGGCCCCTCCTCCCCGACACATGTACTCGTCCCCTGCTCACATGGGCAGAGGCTGGAACTCCGTGTCACTGATCCGGGAGCAGAATCGGGCCTGCACCAGCTGCAGGTTGCTCTGACAGATCTTATCTTCGCCACAGCCTTGCTTCAGGAAGTGAATCTGTGGAGAGTGTCAGGAGACGATCACGTCTATGGCGGAGATCAAATGTGTCTCCAAGGCACATGGAACGTTAGAGAAGCACGGATTAAACAGCTCCAGGCTGGTCCAGAGGCAGAGCAAGACCACATTTCCCAGTGCAGACCGTACCTACTAGATTCCACACAGAGATTGTGGAAACAGTGAAGGGAACCACCACTGGGCTGCTGAGAAAACCGCCCAATGAGCTGCAATTGCTGCCCCTTCCAGCCAAAAGGGAGCGTGGTGATTTCAGAGCCTTGGTGTCCATCTCAGAAGACAACAGGCCTTAATACCCCAGGGCCCTAATTGATGACCTCAGGGAGTGAGGGAGCAGGAGCACTATCCTCTTAGGAAGGAGCCATTTTTCCTTTGAGGTATTACATCACCTATATATACAGGGTTGTACTGGGGCTACATGAGTGGAAGAGCTTTGCAAGTCGCAAGTGGGCATCACAGTAGACGCTCCAGGACCATTGTCCCTCCCACCTCCCTTTCCCCCACGCTCACCTCTGTCCTCTGGGTGCTAGGCTGGTGGGCACTGAGGATGGGGGCCACAGGGGGGAGCCCCTGGCCAGGAGCTTGTCGCTGCCACCGTAACCGAGGAGTTTGGAGACTGTAATTCAGGGTCACCACGATGGCCCGAAGCTTGTCTTTGACATTTTCCTGGGAGGGAGAGATTGTTACTACACTGGAACAACCCCAAGCCCCCAGCCCTGGCCAAGGACCCCACCAGGACGCTGAAGACTCTTAAGCTCGGGAGGAAATTTGAGGGAGACAGTGATGTGAGTGAGGAAGTAGAGACGGTGAGAAAGAGAGAGCTCTCCCTCGGGATGAGGACCAGACACCCATCTCTGGGAAGAGTAGATTCACTTCACACATTGTGAGTGCTGGCTGGCCATGGCGGCTTGTGCCGACCACTCAAAAAACTAAGGAAGACGGATCTCATTTAGGCCAGTTTGGTGTTCGTGTGTGTGTGTGTGTGTGTGTGTGTGTGTGTGTGTGTGTGTGTGTGTGTTTCCAGACCAGCCTGAGCTACATACAGCACTCCATCTCATTTAAAATAAAAATCAGGCAGAGAGGCAAAAGTGGGTAAAAAGAACTCAAAACTGTTTGATGCCTAAATTATATATATGGAATTCTTCACAAATTTGTGTGTCATCCTCAAACAAAAGCCATGCTCTCTGTTATTCTAATTTTAGTATATATGCTTCCAAGTACAAAAAAAAATTTAGGTACTGGAGAGATGGGACCTGACACCCTCACACAGACATACATGCTGGCAAAACACTAACGCACATGAAAAAATTTTAAAGATTTTATTTTTTAATTATGTACGTGTGTGTGTATCTGTGTGTGAGTAGAAGCCAGAAAAGTGTCAGGTCTCCTGGAGATGGAGTTGCAGGGTATTTCTGCCACCCAAGGTAAATACTGGGACCCAAACCTGGGTCCCCAGCAAGAGCAGCACAATCTCTTAATTGCTGAGTATCTTTCTAGCTGCTTGGAGCCCGGGGCTTACAACAAGATACGAGTGTGCTAGAGAAGAGGCAAGGAAAAAAACTGCAACAATGATGTCACTTGGAGACCAGAAGGCTGTGTCCACCTGCAGCTGGAACATGGCGTCTCCACACACTCGGTCCTGTTGGCGCTTCAGCCACACGGTGCCTGAGGATTGGTGCTTGAGGTCATCCAGGCCTCGGCTCAGGAAAGTCACTCGTGGAACCTGGCCCCGGAGCCTCCGGTCCGTGTCCCCGTCTAGCGTGTAATCCAGAGCTGTGGCATGGAGAAGAGGGAAGTCAGTGCGCTGAGGACCCGGTCCTGGGGTGCCCTCCTCTCTACCCTGAAAGCCGATCCAAAGAGCAGCGGCTGAGGACCCCACTCACCCACAACAGGGCTGTAGCTGCTGGGCACCGCAGTGTAACTGAAACAGACCCTGATGTCCACGCTGTGGGGCAAAAGGGAGGCTCCTGAGTAAACAGGACCCCAATCCCGCCTCTGCCACAGCCCAGACCCAAGCTAGGGGAGCCAGGCAGGGGAAGCCAGCGAGCGCTGGCACCTCCTCCTCGGCACAGCACTCCCTTCTAGCCTCGCCTCACCAGACCAAACGTCCGCCGGCACAGTTGGGCTGTTCTAGGTCGATGGCTCTCGGAGCAATGAAGATCTCTTGGGAGACATGAAGAACAGGTCTGGCCCTGGGTATGGAGAGTAGATTGGGTAGAAAGGAGAGAACATGAGGCTAGTACCAGGTGTGAGACTGGAAAGAGGCCATAGCTGCGGGGGGTGGGGGGCTCACCTGAATAGCGTAGCTGTATCAGCCAGGGAGCCCACGAGCAGGTCTGGGTAGTAGTTTCCATCCACATCCAAGCCACCAGACAGGGAGTAGCCAAAGCTCTTGATGCCCACAGCCTCGCCCTCCAGCACCTGGAGACCAGCAGTCAGCCTCCTTGAGTCCCACTTTCCCAACCCCCCCCTACCCTGCCCTCTGCAGCCCTTACTCCACCCAGGACTGTCCCCTCACATCACCTGTGAAGGTTTGGCAACCATCCCCATGCTGCTTCCATGGTAGATAAAGACTTTCCCATCTCCATCAAAGGGAGCGCCCACGGCAATATCTGGGGGCATAAGGAGAGGTGTTGTGAAACTGTGGAGGGAGATGGACATACCCAATTTCCCTTGTTCAGTCCTGCAGTGTACATTTCTAGCTTCATTGAGGAGCTATATGCATCACTTTAAATCCTCTCGGCCACTCTCTCCAGAGATCACTAGCTCAACTTGGCTGAGTTATACAATCCCCTCATCTCGAATCTACCCCCGTCTCAGCCCCTCTCCCCACACTGAGCTTTCCCAATCCCAGTCACCTGGGAAGCCATCCTGGTTGAGGTCTCCCAAGACAGCCAAGCTGATCCCAAACATGGAGTCAGGGGAGCCACAGATCCGGAGAGAAGGGATGTCTGCCCAGTGGCCACCCTGGTTCATGTAGACATACACAGCACCTCCCAGCTCTTTTTGGCGCTCAAAGAAATAAGGGGCTCCCACAATCAGGTCTGGCCAGCTGTGGAAGAGGGGGACAGTATGGGCCCTCTAGACCAAGGGAGTCAGGACAGAGTACAGAAGCCATTCCTGGACCCAGGGGCACATTCCTCCTGTCCCCTCTCTCACCCATCACTGTTGAGATCAGCCACAGCCAGTGAGTAGCCAAAGCCAGAGGTCAAGCGCTCCCCAGACAACACAACCTCGGGGATCAGGCGGCTGGCGCTATCCTTGCGCAGAATGACCACAGCCCCCTTGTGGTTGGCACGGGGGGCCCCTGCCACAAAACTCAGCTCTTTGGCACGCAAGAGACCCTTTGCAGAGTCGATGGAGAAACCTGGGTGAGGAGATCGCTTACTGTGAGTGCTTCTCCAAGAGACAGAAGCCAGAGAATTCCCCTGGAGCCACAAGGAAGAGTTGTTTCCCGGTCACCACCACTACGTCTGGACTATCCCACCATTGCCTCCACCAGAGCCTAGAAACCCTTATGACCCTCTTGGTCAGAGACACAATGCATGACATGGAGGTGTCATGCATCAGAGAGAGGCATCGACAGAGAAGCCTTGGTGATTGGTAAGAGGGGCTGGGCACAGCAACGGGAGTTATGGGAGTTACGCCAGAGCCACCTCCATTCATGTCCAACCTGGGGAAGCAGAGGAGAGGGATGCGCCTGCCATTCCTGCACACCCAGGAGGTCCACTGACACCCAATGCGCATTCTCTACCCCCATCTTCCCTACCCTGCCAGGGGAGGAAACCTTTACGGGGGACAAGGGAGAGCTTGCTTCACCCAGATGTTTCCTGGGCCTCGTTTCCTCCTTGTTGATATGCCGAAGAGGATATAAACCTCTATGAGGGGCTCACCCCCAGGCTAGAGCTTTCTCCAACATAAACCCTCCATCTGCCCCCAGAGGAAGTTCCCTAGAGGTCAAACTCTCCTTCCAAGCAGGGTTAACACTGGCCCCCTTGCTCCACCTAGGTCTTCCTCCATGAAGACCCTTGTCTTGTCACCACCTTCAAGACCTCTTCTTCTCGGGCCTGTCAATGTACCTAATTCTCCTCTGCAGTTTGGGCCCAATATGTATTTCCCTGGGCGTATGTTGGGGAGGGCAGGAAGAAAAGGATACTCCCTAGGAGGGCAGTGGGAAGGCCGGGGCCAAACCCCAGGGCCCAGGACATAGGAGCTTACAAACCTAAATAGCTATTCAAGGTCAAGTCTCCGGCTGGTCCTGTGAGCCGGTCTGCAGGGTCCAAAGTTTTATACACCAACTGGTCAGGGTCTGAGCTATCAATGCTGGTCACAAAAAGCAACCCTGTGGGGGGGGGCAGGGAGAGACACCAGGGAAAGGCCAGCAAGAGACGGGAACACAGAGCAGGAAGAAAGAAACAGAGAGAAAGGCCAGAGGAAGGTAAAAAGGGCAGAAGGAGAGGAAGAAAGTGAGAGACACCAAGAAGCCAGACACAAAACAGCAGAGAGACAGAAACAGGAGGATGGGAGCGTGGAGAAAGAGGAGAAGAGAATTAGAGTGGTTCTGGACCAGGGAAGGGTCCCTACCAAAGTAGCTGTTGGCAGGGACCGGAATGAGGCGGGGGTCTTGCTCCTTCTCGCCCCCTGCCTCGTAGGGCCCGTCGTCCAGGTGTTCCAGGTCCGACGAGCCCTGTGCACAGAGCTCCACCCTGGCTGTGCCTGCAAGAACAGTCCTGTCAGTACTCAAGGCCGGAGAAAGGCGCCCCCTCACACAAAGCATTCTATTGAACAAGCACACGGGAAGCCCCCTCCCCTCCTCTTCAACCCAACCCCCACCATCTCCCTAGCCCAAGCTTCTAGTATCCCCCGGACATGGCATCATCACACTCACCGAGTGGCAGCTCAGCCAGTGGCAGCGTGCAGAGACGGGAATGGCGATGAGGTATGAGCTGCTGTGTTGGTGCATGCAGGCCCTGGCCCAGCCGTGCATGTGGGAGCCCATGCCAACATATAAACACATGGCCATGCGGTGGAGGGTAGGGACCCCCATTGGTTTATGGGCCAGCAGGATGGGAGTGGTGGAAGGCATGGCAGTGCCCAGGTCAGTACACCAACGAACTCATGGACATGCGGCCGTGTGCTGCTGACAGTCCCATCTCGGAGGCAAGAGGAGATTTTGGTCTCCTCCTCCACCCTCCCCAGTGAATGACTCACCCTTCCAGTTATAGGTTCCTGGAGCCCCAAAGACGAGATAGTGGCTGTCGGGGGAGAAGGTGGCAGCCGTGCCCTGCTGGCAGAACCCAAATTGTTCATGGCCCTGGGGGCGCCCCTCGCAGAACTTCCACTCCCCACCATCCAACTCATCACGGATGGCCAGGTCCTCGCTTAGCACAAAGCAGCGACCAATCACATCCCGGGTCTCCAGGATCTGGTCCACTCTCTGTCGAGACTCATATCGGTGTGCACAGGTCTGTGAGAGGAGTGGGGGGAGGGGTCAGATCATTTCCCCGTGTTTACCAGGGACCTACATGCTGCTGCCCGTATGTAGGTAGACTTTTGGTAGACACACACTCGAACACACACACACACACACACACCCGTGGCATGCTCGCACAACCCTATGCCAGCAACACTTGAGCACCATTGCCCAACCAGTGTAAGGTCCTTATCCAGTATCCCATCTGTAGCCACTTGAAGAAAGATGGCTTTGTCTATACTCAACCTGACTACTCACAGACACGTAAGTAACAGCACATAGAACATGTGCTTCCCTGATCGTGTGGCAATCTTGAAGTGCGTGCGTGCGTGCATGTGTGCGTGCGTGCGTTCCTGTGTGTGTGTGTGTGTGTGTGTGTGTGTGTGTGTGTGTGTGTGTGTGTGTACACGCGTTCATGCAGATGTGTGCAGGTGAACTGCAATGCAGTCAGGTGCGTGTGAAATTAGAGGACAACCTTGGGTGTTATTCTTTTAGGAGTTGTTTGCTTCTTTTAAGACAGAGTCTCTCACTGGGGCCAGTGCCCTTCCAACTGGGCTAGACTGGCTGTCCTATAAGCCCCAGGGGTCCTTCCGTCTCTGCCTCCCTATTGCAGGGGTTATAAGTACAACCTCCAAATGTTGCTTTTTTAATGTTGATTCTAGGAATCCAATTCAGATGCTCGTGCGTGCAGAGCGAGCACTTTGCTGAGTCACCTTCTAGACCTTCGTAAGTGTCATCACCTCCAGTAAGAGCATCCCCTGACATCTGTTCTCTGAGTATTAGCTACTCTCAGAAGCGGCTCAGCACACCATGTTTTCAGAGGTCCTTTCTCTCTACTCTTCCTTTGGACGATGGACTAGAAACTAGACCACTTAGTTAGCATTGGTCGTATTCAACCTCATGGTGGCTTCTACTGATAATTGTATTTCGGCATATGTTAGTGAAAGACAAGGAAGAGAAAGAAAGAACTGTCATAACTAAAAGGCATGGTGCCATATAATTTACATCACAGCACTCAGGAAGCAGAGGGAGGAGAATCTTTGAGTGTCAGGCCAGTCAGGGCTACACAGTGAGACTCTATCTTTAAAAGGCAAGAATTTCCATAGCTATTTGGCGGTGCCAAAGTCTCCCTTATCTTCTCATGTTCTTCTCTCAGAAACTAGCATAACGCCTGAAACTAAGAAAAGGTAAGAATCTGACAATTCATGGATGAACAGGTAGATGAATGTTTAAAACTGATAAGGAAAGGGATTGTCTCATACACCTTTGTGTGTCACCCAATGGCTCTAGGAATCATTCCATGTGCCCAGCTTGTATTCTGTAGGTGCGCCTATATGCACACAATGTGCACACGTCACCATAACCTCTGCATTGTCACAAGAAGCAGTACTCACCACAATCTTGCCCCCGGGTCCCTGGCTCCGAACACTGACTCCCAACCACTGGTTCTCCTTGCTCTCCTTTTGCACGTTAGCTGAAGCAAGACACTGGGTATCAGGGGAGGGGACAGGAGACAAAGTCCTGCCCACCCCTGTTCACATGCTGCCCCAACTCCACAGTCCCAAGACCACACCTCCCTGGTCGATGTCCACTCTGTAGCAGTCTGTCTCCTCTAGGCTCAGGGGACAAGCGAAGAGACCTCCAGTGCGATTTGCTTGCTGCCCAGGAAGAGCCAGGGCCTGGGGAGCACCCACCAGCAGCCTGTAGGACAGGACAAGGGTTAGATTCAGAGGCCAGAGTGCTCCAGCTACCCCAGAGCTTCCCTGGCCCCGACTCCTCAGTGCCAAGCAGAGTGTTCAAGCACTAAAGAGGAAAAAGTCATTTTCCTCGAATTCTGGCAAGACCTGGGCCTACAATCATATCATATGTGTACTTATTCTCTACATAAAGGACCAACAGAAAGAGTGTACGTACACACATAAATACACATGCCAGCCAGCCAGTCAGAGCAGGCTGCCAGCTTAAGAGAACTGCCTGTCCCTAGCACCTGTTCCCGACAAGCTTCTCCACCCCTGCTTGGCTGCAGCCTCAGACTCCCCCCCTCCTCCCTAACCCTGGTCCAGTTGAAACCCTGCCAGAGATGGCAGGAATGTGTGGGGCAAGAGCCGCAGGCACACAGGCCGCAGGCACACAGGCCGGCGCTGCGGCTCAGGGACAGCGTCAGAGGCCAGGCGGGAGGCTAGAAATGGGCCTGCTTCCCCTCCACCATGTGTCCAGCAGAGGCCCTGCCCGCTGGTAGCTCTGCAAGCCCCAAACTCAGTCATGCCCACTGGCATGGAAGCAGGGAAAGGTTTCTCAGAGCCCCTAACCCCACCATTCCCTGCCCACACCCGGAACCCCCTAACCCCACCATTCCCGGCCCACACCCGGAACCCCCCTAACCCCACCATTCCCGGCCCACACCCGGAACCCCCCCTTCCCGGTCCTACCTTCGCCTCCCATATCCACAGCTTTCTCTTTTCCTCTCCCTTCACCCCTACCCAGGCTTCTCCCTTACTGCCCCCTGAGCCTTTTTCTTAGTTACAACTTTCTTGGCAGAACAATTTTCCATGGCTACAGCCAAAGCGTCTTCCCCAGAGGGGGACTGTGCTGGGAATGGAGGCTTCCTGAGTCCCCCAGGACTGGACCCAGAAGCCAGGAGTGGCTGGGCAGTGAGGCAAAGGAATGGTGACAACTGAGACCCTCTCTCTCCAGGAAAGGCTCAAGTATGGCCGGCAACAGGACAAGCCCGAGTCCTCTCTCCCCCACTCTTCCATGTCCCATCCTGGGGATATATCACAGATGCCGGACGGTATTCCAGACAGGCATCTGTGGGGCACTGAGCCTAACCTCGTAGGTTGGGGGAAAGATTCCCACAACTCCTGCTGTCTCTTACTTAGCAGCTGTCATCTCCCATCAGAGCCAGTGTCAAGCAGGGTCGGGGAAACACGCAGCTGGAAAGACAGCTCTGCAGTCAGGATAAGTTACTGCTCTTGCAGAGGACCTGGGTTCCATTCCCAGCACCCACACCAGGTGGCTGTAATTCCCACTCCAGGAGATCCAGTGACCTCTGTGGGCACCCATACTCACATGACGCACATCAATTTATATGGGCACAGGGAACACACACAAACACATGAATTTAAAAAAATTAAAATTCATCTTTTAAGAGGTAGGATGTGGGCGGTGGTGGCACACGCCTTTAATCCCAGCACTTGGGAGGCAGAGGCAGGCGGATCTCTGTGAGTTCGAGGCCAGGCTGGACCGACAGCCTCGAAAACAATACAGAGAAACCCTGTCTCGTAAAAACCAAAAAAAAAAAAAAAAGAGGTAGGATGGGCGATCTGGAGGGTGGCTTAACAGGTGTACTTGTTGCTCCTGCAGAGGACCTGGGTTTTGTTCTCAGCACCCACAAGGTGGCTCACATCATCTTCTGACCTCCAGGGACACCAGGCACTCAAGCAGTACACACATACAGAGGGGGGGAGAATATGCATATATATGTATATATATATATGTATATATCTCAAAAAATCTTTTAAAAATGGGGGAAGCAAGAAGAGAAAAGACAAATATTCATCATTCATTTCACCACTGTTTACTGATATCCCATTATATCCCAAGCCCTGGGTCGTGCACTGATTGATAAGACAACATAGCACCTTCTATAGGTCAAGCCCCAGGCTGGACAAGGAAGTTGGAAAAAATTAACTTTTACCACTCTCCACTTGGATTCCTAGCAGACGAGCCACAAGCGTTATCCCTCTGGATGTCACAGTCCTATAAGATAAGGGTTCCTATCTTCCAGATGAGCACACTCATTCAAATGCTTCAAGCAAGCAGCCTGCCCACATTTAGATCTCTATCTGCCTAATTACTTGGTCAGTCCACTCATTGCCTGGCCTGTTTTCAGAAGGCTGAAACCACTCCAGAAAAGGGAAGAGGAGGGGAAGTGACACCCTAGGAAACCTAGGTGATGGTGTCCTGGGAAAGCAAACTCCAGCTTTTGCACAGGTCCGCAGCGCACGGGCCTGCAAACTCACACAGACGATGTCACCAACCCGCAAACACAGAGGATGTCATCTGTTACACTGGCGTCGTCTGATTAGTCTTTGTGTTCACCCCATTAGAAAGTGTCGGGACTCACTTACTGGGCTTACACCTTTTGTGGACTCTCAGAGACACCCAATGCCTCCACTGCTTAGTGTGCAGTTGCACGGCCAAGGAAGTAGAAGTGTGTGCCTGTGCGCGTGCGTGTGCGTGCGTGCATGCGTGTGTGTGTGTGTGTGTGTGTGTGTGTGTGTGTGTGTGTGTGTTCAAGGGCCAGAAGGTCAAGGGCCAGAAGGAGGAAGAGGTTCGTATAGACAGAAGCTAAGTACCCACTCCCACTCCTGGAACCCAGCCAGTTCCTCCCGGAACAAGAGCACCCCGTCACCTCTGCTCCAGCCACGCTCTCCCTTCCTGGCTTCGTGCCAGGAGCCCAACCACCCCAGGCCTTCAGACAGAACAGTAACCACAGCTACTTGGGGTGCGGGTGGGGGTGGGGTCGACCCTGGGTACAGACTGGGGCCCAATAAGTAGCAGACAACTACTGTCTCCTACCAGAGCTTCAGCCCCAGTCCAGGGCAGTCTGAGTGGTCCTCTGAGAGAGCTGTATGGCCAGGAAGGCTAGCTCAGCCTGGGGCCCCTTCGGCCAAGCCTCGGGAACCAGGATGCTGTAAATGCTGTTGTTCTCAAGCTCTCCAAAGCCCAGCCCAAGAGCTCCCGCACAACAAACACTTTCACAGCACTCACTACGGGGCTTGCGCTATTCTAAATGTTTTATATATAGTAAGGACTCTTAATCGCCCCCAACAACAACCCCATTTGATAGTGACATTTTTTTCATAGTTGATTAGAATAAATGGGGTAACAAATACAGAGCAAAGTGAGGTTAGACCTCAAAGTTTTATCTCTAGGTTAGTCTGAAAACAAATGAGGTCTTCCCAGTGGCAAAGCAGCTTCTCCATGCACCGGGCCCCACCAGTCAATAGAATGCCCCCTGCTGGACAAAACGGAGCCAGACGGTCAGGCCCCTCTGGGAATGTCCCCAACTTGGCTCTGAGAGACAGAATCGGGGGCCACCTTCAGAGAAGGGGAAAATGACAAGCTATTAAAAATAACCTAGAATTTGTCTGGAAATAACTGAGAGAGTTCAGCGTGTCCTAAAAAGGCCTCTGGGCCTGGAACCCTAACAGATGGGGTAAGGAGGGAGGGAGGGAAGAAGGAAGGAAGGGAAGGAGGAGGAGGAGGCTTGATACTGGCTTGAGACATCTGTTGGTTTCTATCTTTCCCAAAGGTTTAGAGAGCAAATCCTTCTCCCAGGTGGCAGGAATACTGGAAGGAGAAAGATTAAGACCACCCCCACCTCCAGCGGGTGAGGAAAATAAACTGTTGTCCCTGCCTCCTGTCCCCAGACCAATGGTAAGGGGAGAAGACAGCCTCTGGGGACAGCATCGATCCCAGTAATGGACACTTAAGCGTGGCTTATGCATTGGCTATGGGGGGTGCCCTTTGGCGGGAGGGAGCGGGAAGCTTTCTGCTCTTCTTGCCTCTCTTCCTGTGTGGTAAGAACCACGAATACAGAAACATGGTCAGCTGCAAATGTGTCTATCCACCAGGTGTCCTGAAAAGGTGACAACTGTCCTCTACACTTCACTCCTTGTCTTTCCCTACTACCGAGATTTCTGGGGTTGGACATTCCCTGAGGAGGAAAGGAAGCAGCTTGGCATCTTCACTGGATCCTGCTGCCACCGCCGCTGCTGTTTCTGGCAGTAGTGGTGACAGCTGCCACCATCCCTTGCTGCTACTACTACTCAGAGTCTCTGTTTTGCTGCCCCTGCCTGACCATCGCTGCAGATTGCCAGGCCCTGTCCGGTCTTCGTGTAGCCTCCCTGCTGTGTGGATACACATCACTCCCGGTCTCCCAACGTCGTGCAGTCATCGCTCCATGCTATCTGTTTCTCTCCTCTTTCCCTCCCATGGCACCCTCGTCTTCTGTCCTTGCCCACTCCTTCCACCCTATGCAGAAACAGAATGCTCAGCCCTCCCTGCCTGGAGCAGTTCGCCACCGCCCTCCCCCCCCCCAACGAGGAAGAAAAGGAACCAGAGATGCAGGGCCGGGGTAAGGATGCAAACTGACGGGAAAGGCAGAGGGGAAGGGGGGTCTCTGGCAAGAGCATTGCTCTCCAACTCATCCCCAAGGCAAGAGTCTGTGTCTGGGGATCTGGACAAGACCAGGCAAGACTTCAGGTTAGAGTATGGGATGCCTGTGGGCAGAATACGGTTGAAAGATTGAGAGACAGGTAGGTGCGGAGTTGGGAGAAGGGAAGGGTAGTAGCCCAAGGCTTGAGCCTGGAGACTCTGGGCGGGTACGGTGACTCACCAGCTCTGGGGTCGGGGCTGTAATTGTCGATGCAGGGCTACTGAGAAGCCAAAGAGGCTGCCAGGTTCGCCTTCCTTGCGCAGTGCGCCCATGACATCCAGATTGAAGGCGACAGCCCATGGCAAGAGCAGTCCAGCGAACAAGTACCTAAGAAGGTAGCAAATCCCACGGGGCCGGAGGGAATCGCAGCTCGGAATCCTGCCCATGGGACCAAGCCTGCGAGCGCTCCGTTTGTGTAAGGAGATCGGAGATCGTCGCGCCCCTAGAGTCCCCAGTTCTTCCCAGGGGTGTTTCTGGTTTCCGAAATCCAGCTGGTCTTTCAGGAATCTTCCAATCTTTCACCTTGGCACCCCTCTTGAGTCCTCCCCTCTCCGCTGCCCCAGGACCAGCTAAATACAACTACTGCAGTGGGAGCGCCGGCGTGCGCTCCGGCTCCGCCTCCTCTCTGGGATGCCGCCCAGACCCCGCCCCTGCCACGCCCCCTGCCTCCCGCAGCAGATGGAGACTCCTGCGCACAGCCTGGGATGATGCCCAGACCCTCTGGGTGGAAACTAGTCTAGCACCCGCCCCACCCCCTGCCGCCCCACCCTTGCACTTCTCCCTTCTCCAAAAAAGTGGAGGGTGAGCTCAGGAATGCGGAGAGAGAAATACAGTAGGAAGAGAGAACTGGGATGAGGATGAAGAACTCCCTACCTGAGAAGACAGAAGCACTGTTTAAAAACAGAGGAAGGGAAACCAGAGTTCCTGGGCCTCGATCCGAAGCGGTCCTTTACTGACTGCGACTCCCCAGAGTAGCATAGCGCACCTCTTAGTCTGTAGGAATCAAACCGCTTCGAACATCACAGGGCCCACAAATAGTGTCAGCATTCTAGAGACCAAGAGCAAAGGCACAGAGAGAAAATACTCAGCAGGTGTGGAGACTGGAGCAAATGGAGAGGAAAAAAAGGACGGAGAGCAGGAGAAAGGCCAAGAGTTAGCTCAAAGTCTGCAATGAAGGAAGAAAAAGCAAAGAGTAAAATAAACTCAAATTAAACTGTGGAGAGGGAAGAGGGGGTGGAGAGGGGCAAAGATGAAAGACACTGGACCTGTTGTCTTTCTTTTTTAATTGTTGCTGCCTTTTAAGCTACGGCTGTCCTATTCAGCAACTGCCACTCACCACTACCAGCAGCAGCTAGGCCACAAGAGCCAAAGCCTGAGGGAATTTTGTTCCCTCAAGCACAGACTCTTTCAAAGCTACTAGGGAAACTTATTTAAATCTCTGTCCTGCTAAAGAACTCAAGATTCAAAGGTTGATATAGAGCCCTGCTTCCCAGAGGCTGAGTAGCAAGTAGCTCACCTAGCTCACCTCTTGGTGTCTCCCAAGAAGTCCTCACGCTTTTTCTCGCCCCTCATTATAAACCCTTCTCCACCAGGTTGTTCCCTACAACTTCCTGTCAGCTGGTTGCTGATCCAGCCTCCGACCTCAGGTGGATTTTATTTAACCAAGCGCATCTTTGCATCATTAAATGTTCCAGAGCATAAACAAAGCAACACACCTTAAAATGATATTCTACAACGCTGGACCCATAAGACAAAGGCATCGAAAGGGGGCATCCCGCTATCAACTCCTTCCAATGGGCATTTCCCACGTAACAAAAATGGTGGGGCATGTCTAGGAATCGCGGCACTCAGCAGGCAGAGGCAGGCAGATCTCCGTCTCTTCAAAGCTAGCTTGGTCTACATGGAGAGTTCCAGGCCAGCCAGAGCTACAGAATGACAGAAGAGGGGGAATGGGAAGCCAGGCTTTGTGACCCTGCAAATTCAGCACTAGATAGTCAGAGGAAACCGGCCTGGTCTGCAGAGTTAGGGCTAAAAGTGAGATCTTGTCGCAATGAATAAACCAAAAGAGGGCACAGCATTTTGGGCTGGTTCTGGCAGGAGTTGGGTGGCAGAAAACAGATCTCCGTAAGCAAGACCCTGTCTCAAAAACAGGAAAAGTTACTGCAGTCTTCCTTTCCCTCCCCCCACTCTGCGATAGAAGCAAAGGGAAGGGACATATTTTTTTCCATCTCTCTGCTATTTATAACTCTAATCAAGAAATGGTGCCAGGAGATGGGATGGGAAATAATTTGGCAAAACGGTAGCCTCACAGCCTTCCACCTCACCTCCTGGCTTCTCTTTTTTAGCAGGCATCAGACTTGTGTGCGACGATCTTCATGCTTCACCTGAGGTTCTGTTTTTACCGCCCTGCCCCTCCCTGGGAGCTTTCTCGGTCCATTTCTCGCTGTCACTCTGTCTCTGCCCTTCAAATATCTCGTATTCTTGTGATCTCCCTTCTTCCCTTAAAAGCTGCCTCTCCTGTGTCCTCCAATCTCTCTCCTTTGTTCAGGATTATAGTTCTTTGGCAGGGAACAAGGAATGTGGCCTTTCACCCTGATCACAGGACAATATTGGCTGCCGGGTACATTGAAACGCATACGATCCTTTGGCCATTTTTGTAATGCTCTGTAGGAGTGTACAGCAAGCCTCTAAACTGTTGCTGCAAAGCAGACACATATACAGGGCTGGCGCTACTGGGATTCTACCTTCGGTGTCCTCCAGTGTTTCCTCTCTGGCGTGTTTGTGTCTCAGAGCCCCAGTCAGCAGAAAACAGATGATACAGAAATGCAGAAGAGCCAAACTGCGGTGGAACCCAGTACTGATGACCCCTCCCCCGGCCTCTGACTCAGGTCAAAATGCCTTTGGAGGCCCAGCTGCCTTCCTTTCTGCACCTGCAACTTGGCTTGCCTCTGTCGGCACTCCGCCTCGATCCACCAGCTTCCCATAAATCCAAGGCTGAGATCGGATGCCAAGAATCTGCTTCTGACCTCCTCTGCCCAAATATTTGAGAAGTCACCTCACCCGCCACAGGAGGAAGAAGCAAAAAATAAGAGAGATTGGTCACCCAAAATTAGCCTGGCTATAAATAGTGGGGCATGGGAGGGAAAGAACACACAAGACTACTAGACCAGCTTAGTAATGAAGACAAATATATTCCCTAAGGGATAATCCGGAGCAGAATGTTGCAGCACTGAGCTACATGGTAGGTGAACAGACAAGAAGAAACTAGAGAGACCCAGAGAGTGAGGGGAGGTCAACATTAAACGTCCTGCCAGAAAACGTCTTGTAGTTGAGTCAAGAGTTTAGAAATTGGTAAAATGCTCAAAGCAGGACATGGTACCACACTCCTTCAATCCAAGCCCTCATGGGCAAGATTCTTAGTGTGAGGCCAGCCTAAAATCCAAAAGAGTTCAGGCCAGGGGCATAGCTTGATGGAAGAACACCTACCTGCCTAGGATATATGAAGTTGTGAATTATGATTCCCAACACTACATACGAAAAAATACTGCATTATAGCATTGATATAACACTCTCAAAATAGCAAAAAACTATACAGATAAAGAGGACATTGGTGTCTGGCAGGAGATAAAGATGGGGGAAGGAGGTAGTGAGTCCGAGTATTAAGGAAGCCTCCTTCACAGCTGCAGGCTCTGTATTGTGGTGGAGGTCAAGTCTATAGGTGGGGTAAAACTGCACAGTACTGCAAGCACAGATGAATACATATATAAATGACATTTTTAAAATGAGTAAGACTTGCAGATTGCTAATGGTATTGTACCGATGTCAGCTTCCTGGTTCTGATGTCACATTGCAATTACATACCATGTCACCATTCTAGGATACTGAACAGAAGGTCCCCAGGCCTTTGCAACATACTTTTGTAGTTTTCTTTCAGTTTAAAATTATTTTAATTAAGAAATATCCATTTTATCCAATGGCCATTTTCTCCAGTCCCTTCCCAATTCCCTAAACACCTTCTTCACCTCTGTTTGGAACCCCTATTTACCAGCTCCCTAAAACATACTTTTTCCAGCTGTTGTCACTAACTTATAAGCAAGCTCTTCTAGAAGGCACAGTCCACGACTCACTTCTCCCTCCACCTGCTCTGGCAATAAAGGCTTGGAGTGTATGTCGAGGGTCAGCCTTTCTCTCCCCAAGACACACAGCATGAGGACTTTCTCCCCACCCACCTCTCCGCACTGGAAGCCTTTGCTGGCCTCTGAATTCCGGCTGTAGCCAAAGCTCATTCTGTGGGCGTGGCTGGGAACCAAAGAACATAAATGCGATTGAGTGAAGTCCATAGGGAAATGGCTTGACCACTCTGGTCTTTGAGGACCCGAAAGAAGCCCTTGCATGTTGGAGAGAGGACCTAGGGGTCACTTCCCACAGGGAGCCATTTAGACCATCTTAAGGGCCCCTTTTCTTTGAGCCCTGGCTTTAGACCAACATTTGGAATTTGGCCACACTGCCAACAGCCCCCTCTCTTGAAACCAGGCCAAACTTCCCAGTATGTGAAGCCTCTCCACTCCCTCCATGTCCTCCCTCAGTCCTCATCCAACCCCTAACAACTCAGCAGTTCCCAGCGCTAAGGTTTGGCCTAGACACTCAATTTGGAGTTTGTTCAATAACGCTAACTCTGAGAGAGACCTCAGAGAAGCAAGGGAACTGTGAGAAAACATTCATTCATTCTTAGGCAAAATGAGTTGGGTGCAAATCATACAGAGCTGTGAGCAGAATGAGATATTCAGTTTTTTGCTTTGTTTACTTGGGGGTGGGGGTTTTGCTTGTTTTGTTGCCATAGGTTTCCATTTGTTTGTTTTGTTTTTTGTTTGTTTTTGGAGACAAGAGTCGCACAGTGTAACCCAGGATGGCCTGGAACTCACTCTGTCACCCATGCTGGCCTTGAACTTATGGCCAGCATCTGGTCTCAGCCTCCAAAGTACTGGGATTACAAGTGTGAGCCACCTCACCGAATCTGAAAACTTCCAAGTATTTGTCTACAGAGGTGGTTCAGATAAAAGTGCTCACTTGCTATGCAAGCACATGGACTGGAGGTCTGATCCTCAGAGCCTATGTAAAAGCCAAAGATGGGCAGACATGAAAGTCTCCTGTAATCCCGGCACTCGAGAGGTAGACTGGGACCTCTGGGAAAAGCTGGCTAGCTAGACTCGCCAGAACTGGTGAACCTGGGGTTCAGCAAAAGACTCTACCTCGATAAGCTAAGTGAAGAACCCGCCTCAGAGCCAGGCGTTGGTGGCGCATGCCTTTAATCCCAGCACTCGGGAGGCAGAGGCAGGCGGATCTCTGTGAGTTCGAGAGGCCAGCCTGGTCTACAAAGCAAGTTCCAGAACAGCCTCCAAAGCCACAGAGAAAGCCTGTCTCAAAAAACCAAAAAAAAAAAAAAAAAAAAAGAAGAAGGCCCTCAGAGTCAACTGCCAGCCTCCACACATATATGCAATCACACACACTCAGACCCATGCAATACAAATAAACACACACACACGGGCTGGTGAGAGACCCTATCTGAACCACAGGAGGATGATTGACACCTGAGATTGGCCTCTGGCCTCTGTATACAACAGCACACACACACACACACACACACACACACACACACACACACACACACATACTCCCAAAAGGAAACACTCCTCAGATCTTTCTGGAAACTGGGTCATTTTGAAAAGGATCCAAGAATAAGCCACCATTCCTGAGACAGCCCTTCAACTGAAGAACTAGCTCAACTTGTTCTGCCTCCTAAAAAGAGACCCCTCGTGCCGGGCGGTGGTGGTGCACGCCTTTAATCCCAGCACTCGGGAGGCAGAGGCAGGCAGATCTCTGTGAGTTCGAGGCCAGGCTGGACCGACAGCCTCCAAAACAATACAGAGAAACCCTGTCTCGAAAAACCAAAAAAAATAATAATAAATAAACACACACATAGGATGCTACAGAGAGAGTGGGAAGGGGGGAGAGGATGTGGGGGGGAGGGAAATTGTTTAAGTAGAGGAGTCATCCTCTGAAGAAGCATGGAACTTGTGTCCACATTTACCAAAGTCAGGTGAAGCTGATGAGCTCCAACCACAGCAGACACTGGACTCATACAGTAAACAAGGACCAGAGCAAAACCAGATTAAAGATAACCCTGCAGACGTCGGTTGGAGTCCCCAGATAGAGGCTCCCCATGCCCACTCCTTGGCTGTAGAGCAGAGGAGCAGCCAGTATGTGGGAAAGCAGGGCAGAGACTGACGTCTGCAGAATCCTGGCAGTCTCTAGTGTGAGAAATGTCAGGAAGTTGTGCCAAGTTAGGTCAGGAGAATACAAGATGGTCCTAACGTTTTCTCTGAGTCACTCCTGAAATTCCCAATACCAACCCCTCTCATTAGCCCGCCTTCTCTGTCCCTCTTAGTCTATGTCTCTCTTTTCTGGCACCCCAAACGCTTCTCTCTCAAGCCCCAAAGCTTTGAGAGTGACACACCTGGAATCTTCCATTCTGCCTGTTTTGCTTGCTCACTGCAGTTAGACACAGGAGCCAGAGCAGGAGGGGCTGGGGAGCCCTGGGCCATCTACCCTGTGCTGCTCTCTCTCACTCTCCCAGCTCCTATTGATCTGCCCTTTCAGAGAACGGAGCCTCTCACCAAATGCTCCGCCCCTTCCAGGATTCCCTTCAGCTCACACCCAACAGGCTCCCCTGAAAAGTGTTTAGGGTCTCCACTTCCTGGGGTCTCTCCCTTGACTTATGCAATACAGACTCAAGCTTTCGAATCAGGCTGGATTTGTATCCAAATTCTGCCCATCAGAAGCTCCACGACTTAACAGTTCTCTACCTCAGAATCTTCACCTGTCAATTAGCGATGACGATAATGTTTCACAGGACTGTTCTAGGAATTAAAAGAACACACAAAGTGCCTGGCCTGTTATGAGTGTTCAGGAAATGTTTATAATAGACATGTAGGCATACAGATACACATTTTTATTTAGCTTTTGTGTGCACTTAGTGGTAGGGACTAAACTCAGAGTCTTGAACATTCTAGGCAAGAGCTCTGCTACTGAGCTACATCCTAGTCCAGTTCCTACTCAAGAACTGTATCGTGGGGACTTGGGGAGTTGGCTCGGCAGTTAAAAGCTCTTGCTACTTGTCTTGGGGTCTCTACTGCTGTGATGAAACTCCATGACCAAGAGCAGGTTGGGGAGGAGACGGTTTATTGTTCTAACCCTTCAGCATTGCTGTTCATCACTGAAGAAGTCAGGACAGGAACTCAAACAGGGCAGGAACCTGGAGGCAGGAGCTGATGCAGAGGCCATGAAGGGGGCTGCTTACTGGCTTGCTTCCCCCTGACTTGTTCAGACTGCTTTCTTATAGAACACAGGACCACCTGCCCAGGGATAGCATCATTCATCATGGGCTGGGCCCTCCTGCATTGATCACTAAATGAGAAAATGTCCTACTGGTGAATCTCATGGAGGCATTTCCTCAGCTGAGGCTCCTTCCTCTGATGATTCCAGCTTGTGTCAAGCTGACACACAAGACCAGCCATGGACACTACTCTTCCAGAGGACCTGAGTTCAGTGCACAGCATCCCACCAGGTGACTTCTGTCTTAAATCCTAGCTCCAGAAGATCAAGTGCCCTCTTCTGGCCCCCACTGGCACTGTGAACATACACACACATACATATGATAAAAAATGAAAATGAGACAGTTAATGCTGTCATTTAACAGTTTCATGTTTCTTCTCACTCATCTCCTGGGATATAAGACACCATTCTTCAAATTGCTGAATGAGGGCCAGAAAGGTCTGAATTCCATCCTCAGGACCCAAATGTTAAAAGAGAGAACTGAGCCAGGCAATGATGGCATGTACGTTTAATCCCAGCACTTGGGAAGCAGAGGCAGGCGGATCTCTGTGAGATCGAGACCAGAGCGAGTTCCAAGACAGCCAGAGCTACACAGAGAAACACTGTCTGGCAGAGAGAGACAGAGAGGGAGAGAGAGAGGGAGGGAGGGAGAGGAGAGAGAGAGGGAGGGAGGGAGGGAGGGAGAGAGAGAGAGAGAGAGAGAGAGAGAGAGAGAGAGAGAGAGAGAACTGAGTCTGTAAAGTCACCTTCTGACCTCAACATGCATACTATGTCTCAAAAAGACAGGAAGGAAGGAAGGAAGGAAGGGAGGAGGGAGGGAGGGAGGGAGGGAGGGAGGAAACTTGAAGAATATTCTCACTTGTTCTGCTCATCTGTCCTTCCTCTGCTAGCAGATGCCAGAAATCAATTTCATCTGTGCCATAAGTCAGAAAATAAGAGAACAACACAGCTGGGAGCAGTCCGAGACATGGATTTTCCCATGTTTCCCAACTTTGGGTGCATTTAGAATCACCTGAAAAGTTTATTCTCTGGAATCTACCCTTCAGAGAATCCACTTAATAAATCTGGAGTGGAGGGTTGGGTTTGATTTGGTTTAGGTTTTTGTTTTGTTTTTCGGGACAGGGCTTCTTTGTGTAGCCCTAGAGATCCTGAAACTCGCTCTGTAGACCAACCTGGCCTCGAACTCACAGAGAGAGATCCACCTGTCTTTGCCTTCAGAATGCTGGGATTAAAGGCAAGAGCCAGCATGCTCTGCTGGGTTTTGTTTGTTTGGTTGGTTTTCTTTTTATCTGGAGTGAAGGGCAGGGTCTTGCTATGTAGCCCAAACTGAATTCCCTTTTCTTCCACCTCAGCCTCCTGACAAGTTTGCATCAGCCAAATATTAATCTAATCACCTTATTTTACTAACAATAAAATTTACTGAGCAGGTAAGCAAACTGACCCAATTTTGCCCAGCATGTCTCCACGTTTGGTTGTCTGTGGTGTTTGTTTTTGTTCTGAGACAAGTCTCTCTATGTAGTCCTGGCTGCCCTGGAGTTTGTTATATATGTAGAGCAGGTTGTCCTCAAATCCACAGAGATCCCCCTGCTTCTGCCTCAGGAGTGCTAGGATCAAAGGCACGTGCAAGTCGGAGTATGTCTGCACCCCATAGCCCCAGCTGCTTGTGGGACTGAAGTAGAAGGCTCCTGGATTACAGGTCATCCTGAAAAGCACAGGGAGCCAAGAGAAACAGACAGAAAGACAGACACAGACAGAGAGGCAGAAGGACAGAGGGACAGATGTTAACGACAGCAATAAATTAATGGTGTTTATAATTTTTCTTGTTGGAATTAATCCTGGAAACATTCCTCCTTAGTCAAGAGAGGCATTGTATAATTTACCTTTCACTTTGGCAGCCGCACTTAGGCTTCTGCCACGACTAAAATGGGTTCGCATTCCCTGACCACAAAAGGACAGGGATGGACTGCACATTCGCCTCTCACGGTCCGCAGCATTAGCGAAGCTCCCTAGAAGGCCGCTTGAGGTGCCTGAAAATGCTTCCCTCCAGTGATCACCCAGAACTCGCGGAACCCTGGAGGAGTGAGATGACTCGGGGGCTGGGAGAGAAGAGAACGCCTTCTCTTCTGGAGAGAGGAAACTGGGAATCCACTGAGGACCGGCCAGCTCTGCCAGGAAGTAAGGTGAGGGAAGGAAAAGAATTTCAATGAGTCCGGAGAGCTCCTGCTACCCCCATAACAGAACTGGGATGAACAGACAGCCAGAGCTTGTGATATAACTGACTCCGGCATAACTAACTAGGACAAGCGCTTCCAACTCTGTAAAAATGAGCCCACTAAAGAACAGGTCACCACTGCCCAACCCTCCACTTCCCTCCTTTAGACATTCACTACCAGCTACCCAACGCCTGGGAGAGGGCGGCTCCTGTCACGTGACGTTATCATCACGTGACTCCGTCCTGCGCGAGCCAAGGCACTACCCAGCTCCCGCAGCCCGAGGGAGGGGCCCGTTGTGCCCGCACCGGTCCAGGTTCGACCATGCTGTCCCGCTTGCTCAAAGAACACCAGGCCAAGCAGAACGAACGCAAGGAGCTGCAGGGTGAGCGCAGAGTCCCATCGGCCGCTCCCGGCTGCGGCCTAGCTTCTGCCGGAAGCCTGGACCTCGGGTGACCTCCCGGTCCAGGGGAGGGCGCCGGCTAGCGGGCGACCCGTGCAGGGCAGGCAATTGGGGGCGGCACTTCTGGAAACTCCGTTCCCTTGCCAACCTGCTCCGGTCCCCTTGGCACTGCTCGGGTCCCTTCGGCAACTCCCCCAATCCCGCCTAGGCAGTGTCTGAGCCCCGCCCCCGGCTCGCGACACTCGGTGCCAGTTGGCCCAGGCAGCCTCTCACCCCGGAAGCGGAGGGAGTTGGGGACCGCCCAGTGGCCCAGTTCCAAGCGCGGCTTTCCCAAGGCCCAGCCTGGGAATCCCGGAGTTGCCAATCCAGTGCCCAAAGTAGTGGAGAAAGGGTGTCTGGGACCAGTCCTGGGCGTGCCTGTGGGAGCCCTTCCCCTGTCAGGGTGCCATTCCCTCACCTCCAAAAACAGGGAGTTTGGCTTGGTTTTATGTGTGTAAGGTGGTTCTCTTAAAGGTCTGATGTTAGCTGACAGTTTCCAGAATAGTAGTAAGTGCATGGGGAACCCATTAGCACCACGCCTCAAATCCGAAGTCTGTACCAATCCCTCTCCCCTTCCCCAGAGAAGAGGCGGCGAGAGGCCATCACCGCAGCCACCTGCCTGACGGAAGCTTTGGTGGATCACCTCAATGTGGGGTATGACCTTCTTCCCGCCATCCACCCTGGTTAGACAAGGTCTGGGCCATCCTCCTGAAGGCCCCAGGTGCCCTGTCGCTGTCCTGACCGCCCTGCCCCTAGTGAAACTTCATGGAAACTTGAGCAGCTGCAGTGGTTGGGAAAGGAGCCAGAATTCCCCCTTCCCCATACTGACTTCCCTGGCACAACTTGATGCCATCCGGCCAACTCGATTCACCCATTAAGGGCAGCTGTCACTGGGGTGGGAGGGAAGGGCAACCTCTCTCACCACACACCCTCTTTCCTTCCTCGCCTCCTACTCTCTGGCAAGCCTGGGAAACAACTGGCGGGAACAGGACGGAACAGCTGATGGAGGCGAGGGAGAGCCTGTGCCACGAGCTATGGCAAAACCAGGCTGTCTCTTCCCTTCCTTCTGGGGCCTCCTGAGACCCTACCCCCAGCCTGAACCCGATATAAGAAAGCCAATGAGAGCCAAAGACTTGGAAAGATTTCCTGGACCTGTGTGACTCAGAGAGAGTGCAGAGATGGTGACTTGATAAGTCTACGGGAAGAAAGGAGGCACATGTCATGCCTTCCACTCAGGGCGAGTAGAACGGCTCGGTTGAAAATTCAGAGACTGAGTCATCCACGGAGTTGTGCAGGGTTAGGGTCATCTCCATTACTCATCTGAGAGGAGATGGGGAAATGGCTGTGGTGGGGCCTCGGGCCTCCTGTATCTCCAGACGGCGCTAATCTCCAGTATTCTCACATCGACACCTCCTCTGCCACCAACCCCGAGGCTGGCCAGACTTCTCTCTCTCCTGCTGCTAGACGCCACCCCGCTTTCCAGCTTAGAGGGCAGCTAAGCCAAACCCAGATTAGAAAGGGTTTTGTGCTGCTTCCCACGGCTCCTGTTCTCCAGAAAGTGAGACAAAGGCTTAGTGTGTCTCAGTCCCTTGTCAGGTGCCCAGCCCACTTTCTTGGACCTCCCCCCGACCCTTTGCCGCCTCTGCCCCCACACATTCCAGTGGGTGGCGGCACCGGATGTGGGGGGGTCTCCTTATGACCTAGAGCTTTGGGATAGGGAATGAAAAGGTCGTCTGCTAGTAAGAGAGGGAACAGTGATTGCATAAAGGGGGGAGCAAAAAACATTGGTGGAAGACGGAGCTCTGGTGTTGTGGTAGCCGTGGCAACCACGGCCAGCACCTTGAAAAGATGCATTGCCTGGAGTGTAAGGGGGGGGTGAAAGGACTATGGGTGGGAGAGTTGGGTGTGATGGCAAATGCCCATGTGCCTGTAATCGCAGCACTTGGACAGCAGAGGCAGGAGGATTAGGTCAAGGACAGCTTCATCGCCACAGCAAGTTTGAGGTCATCCTGAGCTCCCTAAGACCCCATCTCAAAGGGTGAGGGGAGGAAGAGCCGAGAAAATCTCTTGGGGCTTATTTGACCCAGGGTTCCTAAGGGGGGTATTTACTGTCCCATCCCACCCCATATTCAGGGAGGGGCCTGATTTCCTTCATGACCGCTTGCAGAGATCACTGGGCTCCAAATCTCTGCCAGATGTGTCCCTGCTGCCGATTTTTCCCACGCTCCCTTTTCCCTCTCAGCTCTCCCTCAGGGATGACCCCCAGGTTAACCTTCCCTGCCCCATCTCAGCTACAGAAACTCCTTGAGAGAATGAGAAATGGTATGCTTCTAGTCTGCTCCCAAATTGGCTTTCTTGGGAACCCTAGGGTTGGAGAAAGGAGCCTGCTTCATTTGCGGTCACACCCAGAAGGCTTCCCAGTTCTGCTCCTGGCTGATGCCCCACCACTGCCCCGGAGACCACCCCCTGTGGCCTGGACGAGCTGACATCCTCTCTCCTCCAACCCTTAGTGTGGCCCAGGCCTACATGAACCAGAGAAAGCTGGACCATGAGGTGAAGACCCTCCAGGTCCAGGCCGCCCAGTTTGCCAAGCAGACAGGCCAGTGGATTGGAATGGTGGAGAACTTCAACCAGGCACTTAAGGTGGGCCACACTCATCAAAGCGTTGCCTTTATCGGAGCCCCCAGGGGCTATGGTTAATGAGGAAGTGGGGATGGTCCCACATATTCCTTCTGGTGTCAGAAAGGCTAGAAAGAAAAAGGCACGTTCTTGGGAAGTAGCTCAGTGATATTTAGGCCCTGGGTTCAATCCTTAGCTCTGCAGAAAACCCTCCAGTCGTACCAGCTATCCTAGAGGCTAAGGCAGGAGGATAGTTTCAGCCCAGTAGTTGAAGCCAACCTGAGCAGTGTTGCAGTGGTCAATCTCAAAGAAAAGCAGGCAGACACACGCAGTTGGTGTATCTGAGTGAGCAACCTCAGCTTAGGACACACAATCTACCCACCCTGACTCCTGGCCTCCAATCTCCTCTTGCCTTCCCAGGAAATTGGGGATGTGGAGAACTGGGCTCGGAGCATCGAGCTGGACATGCGCACCATTGCCACTGCACTGGAATATGTCTACAAAGGGCAGCTGCAGTCTGCACCATCCTAGCCTCTCCCCTCCTCTCCCCTCCCCCTCCCACGTAAGTCATGAATAAAACTCAAGCTTCCATTCTGTGTGGTGTGTTTGACGGGGTCACTAGCTGCTGTATGGTAGTGGGGGGACTAGTGCCTTTTGGTGAAAGGAAGGTAACAATATTCCTCTTACTGCGCCTACTCTTCCTTGAGCCTGGCGTGAGCCTGGCACAGGTGCCTTTTGGCTGAGCAGAAGGTTTCCTCATGCCTGCCCAGGGGAGGTTTCTGCATGAAACATTCTGCTTCAGACTTCAGTTTCCTGCAGAGAGTTAAGGCAGGGAGCAGACCTCGTCCCGGCCCTGGCTCTATGCCTCACCTCATGCTCATGTGCTCCTCCAGGCTGCCACTAAGCAGCGTCACGAGTCTGGGCCAGGTGGGAGATTAATTCTTGGGGGCACTTTAGGGCTGAGAAGGAAGAAAAGTAGCAGGTCCAGGGCCACCCACAGAGAGGCAGCTGCCATCCTTGGTAGTTCCCACCTCCTAGGAGACGGTGGCATAGATGGTCAGGGCCCTGGCTGGAAAAGACAGCCTAAGGGGGACTGGGCAGAGGTGCCCTCTGTCAGAACCTAGCTTCAGCCTCTTAGCTCCTCCTCCTCCTCATCACTGCCCTGAGCCCGGAAACATACAAGACACTTCACACTCGTGCTCCGCAGCAAGAGTCCACCCCTCCAGACTTTGACCTTCCCTGTAGCTAGTGTAGGAGCCTGGGAAGGCTGGGAGCAAAGTCTCTTAAACAGACGAAAAAGCTACCGCTTCTCAGGCTGTGTGCCTGCCTGCTTTCCCCAGAGGTAAGTGGAGTGGGGGGGTGGGGAGCTATAAAAAGACCAGCTTGCAACGGCATTCATCGATCGTCCAAGCGTCAAGCTGTAAGCTTCCAGCATCGTCCTCACACGGCATCCCTTTGATCTTCCACCACACTGAGATGGGCCTGATGGGTGTTGTAGCTCAATTTGCTAGATGAGAAAGCAGGTTGGTTCCAAGACAGAGTGAAGGTGTCCAGCTTCACACAGTAACTTGGAAGCCACCAGGACTGAAATGCAGGCTCTCGGATCCAAAAGTAAAGCTAGGGTGCATTCAGAAGGTTGTGATGTCCTGGATTAGACGGTACAATGGTCATCCAGGTCCCTCTGCTCCCACACAACAGGTTTGCACACAGGACCAGCTCAGGTTTATTTCATTGGCTACAAAGATAGTGTTTGTCCACATCTGTTTTGCACAATAAGCCATAGCTTGCCAATCATCTGCCAAGCAGAAATTTGTTTGCTCAGACCAGACATTTCCAGCCAAGTAGATGTTAGGGGCCAGGGCCGAGGGGCAAAGAGAATGACAAGCTTTCCTGCTCAGTCTAGGCTGCCATCTGCAGGGCATTGCCTCTGACCATGTGGCTGCCTCTGCTTCTGGGGGCCGCGCTGTGGGCCGCGCTGTGGTTGCTCAGAGACCGGCAGAGACTCCCTGCCAGCAACGCTTTCATCTTCATCACTGGCTGTGACTCAGGCTTTGGACGTCTTCTGGCACTGCAACTTGACCAGAAAGGCTTCCAAGTCCTGGCCAGCTGCCTGACCCCCTCTGGGGCAGAAGACCTACAGCAGATGGCCTCCCCCCGCCTCCACACAACACTGCTGGACATCACTGATCCCCAGAACGTCCAGCAGGTTGCCAAGTGGGTGAAGACACAGGTTGGAGAAGCTGGTGAGTAGGGCAGCCACCGGGAGCCTGGTCTGTACAGTAATCCCAGGAGTCACTGAGGCTGTGGGGGAAGAATGGGGTTCAAATCCTCCCAGGAAGGCAACACATGAGAATGCCTCACCTCCCCCAAACTCCCACCCTGTGTCTGTCATCTCCCCACAGGGCTTTTTGGTCTGGTGAATAATGCTGGTGTGGCTGGTGTCATAGGGCCTACACCATGGCTGACACAGGATGATTTCCAACGCGTGCTGAATGTGAACACGCTCGGTCCCATTGGGGTCACTCTTGCCCTACTGCCCCTGCTACAGCAGGCCCGAGGCCGGGTGGTCAACATCACCAGTGTCCTGGGTCGTCTGGCAGCCAGCGGTGGCGGCTACTGTGTCTCCAAGTTTGGCCTGGAGGCCTTCTCTGATAGCCTGAGGTGAGGATGCACAGCCCCAGGTCCCAGCCTGGAGAGGGACAGGGATCCTACACCAACAGGCACATCCAACATAGGGGAGATGAAAGAGGAGGCAGGGTTATAGATGGGTGAAACCTCAAGCTTACCGCCTACAAGCAGTGTTTTAAATCGCTTACACTTGTGTGGTGTGTGCGTGGCAAGTGTGAGACAAGTCTCACTGTCATCCTGACTGACCTGGAACTCAGAAGTCAGCCTGCCTCTGCTTCCCTAGCACTGGACATAAAGATGTTGGCTCCCACACTTAGTTTTTGAGTCAGGGTTATACAATGTAGTCCAGACTGGCCCCAAATTCTTGGCAATCCTCCTACCTCAGCCCCTTGAGCACTGGAATTACAGGTTTGAACCACCACGCACCCAACTAGGTTATTTCTGTTTTTCTTCCAGGTCTGTTAAATCAGAGTAAGACTTGCCTCAAGGGGGTTCAAAGCAAACCCATCAGTGCCTAGATGCTGGGGAAAGCCTGTCATTCATCTTTAAATGGAATTTACATACACATACACACACATTGTGTGTACCCATGCACACATGAATGTTCATGGCATGCATGTCAAAGTAAACTTATGGGAGTCTGTTCTCTTTCCGAGGTGATGAGGGTTAATGGAAAGAGGCCTTCCTTGAATCATCTCACCAGTCGCTCATATCACTACTATACTAAAAGTAGAAAAACTATTATTTTTTATTTCATTCTCTCATCCATTCTATAGGAATGGCTACTACTTAGTAGGAGCATTGAGACATGCCACTAGGCTAGGTCTGCCCCTCAGTTTTGAGACAGTCTTACTATATAGACCAGGAGGCCCTTTTTTTTTTAAAGTATATAAGTGTTTAGCCTGCATGTGTGTCTATGTGAGGGTATCAGATCCACTGGAACTGGAGTTGCATGTGGGTGCTGAGAATTGAACCTGGGTCCTCTGGAAGAGCAGCCAGTGCTCTTAACCACAGAGCCATCTCTCCTGTCCTCTTCCTTCCCTTTCCTTCCTTTCCGTCTTTTGAGACAGGGTAGCCTCAAACTCACTCTCCCAGTGCTGGCGTCACAGACATGAGCCTCCACTTGGGACTTACCGTAACACTGTGAACAGTAATGTTCAAAGTTGGTGAGAGTCTAAAGGAGCTATGCAGGACAGTGGGGGCAGCAGAGTCTGAATTTGGGACAGAAGCCTACGTTGTCCAAGAGGAACTAGTAAGGAAGGCTGCCTTCATCACCATACCCGACATAATTTCACTGTCTTTTGTCCCCTCCCCTGTTCTTCCAGTCAGCAGCATGGAACACAGGTACACTTGGATCTCTACCCAGGCCAGGCAAGGCAGTGGGATGTTCTCCTACTTGAACTATCCAGTCACCTACCTGTGGTGATATCTTAAAGATTTAAAGCTTGCCTGAGGATTCAGAAAGCAAAGTCAGCCACAAGCCATAGAAGCAGGCACACACCTTTAATCCCAGCAGAAGCTAGGAGGTAGTAGCACACACCTTTAATCCTAGGACTCAGGATTAAGAGGTGGACAGATCTCTCTGAGTTCAAAGCTACCCAGGGATACACAAAACTGATTCAGTCTAAAAGAGTAACGGATCACAAGCCTTTAATCCCAGCACTAGAGGGGTATATAAGACAGGAGCCAAGAGCCAATACAGGCACTCATTCTCCAGCCACACTGAGGAGAGGCAGCAGTTTGAGACTTGGTGAAGAACTCATGCGTGGATCAGCCCTTTCAGCCTGAGCTAGAGAGGAGAGCTAGTGGCCGACTACTTTGCTTTCTGAATCCTTAGGCAAGCTTTATTAAATGATAAATAATATATCACTATACCTACCAGATAATACCAGTCTAGATCCCTCACACCTAATATTCAGGACTCAGTCTTTTTATTTATATATTTTTGGTTTTTCGAGACAGGGTTTCTCTGTATTGTTTTGGAGGCTGTCGGGGAACTCGCTCTGTAGAGCAAGCTGGCCTTGAACTCACAGAGATCCACCTGTCTCTGCCTCCCAAGAGCTGGGATTAAAGGCGTGTGCCACCAACGCCCAGCAGGACTCAGTCTTATGTTTTGGAAGTTACAGAACAAGGCTCTAGATAAAGAACTGGTAGCCGGCCGGGCATTGGTGGTGCACGCCTTTAATCCCAGCACTGGGGAGGTGGAGGCAGGCGGATTTCTGTGAGCTCGAGGCCAGCCTGGTCTACAAAGCGAGTTCCAGGACAGCCTACAAAACAATACAGAGAAACCCTGTCTCGAAAAACCAAAAAAAAAAAAAAAAAGAACTGGTGGCCTGCAGTTATCCAGATGGGCTGAGCTGCCTTCAGGCTAATGGTTTTTAACACATTTAAATGGTTAAATCGTAAATAGTTATATACGTACATTAATTTGGCCAGATATCATAGCATACAGCTTTAATCCCAGCACTCAGAGCAAAGGCAGGAGCATCTCTGTGAGTTCAAGGCCAGCCTGGTCTACAGAGCGAGCTCCAGTCCAGCCAGGGCTACCCTGTAACAAAATAAAAACATTAATTTTGTCTGGCCTGTAGTACCTCAAAATTTACTATTAAGAGCCGGGCGGTGGTGGCGCACCCCTTTAATCCCGGCACTCGGGAGGCAGAGGCAGGCGGATCTGTGAGTTTGAGGCTGGGCTGGACCGATAGCCTCCAAAACAATACAGAGAAACCCTGTCTCGAAAAACAAAAAAAAAAATTTACTATTAAGAAAAAAATAAGAGATGGGGTAGGGAGAGGCTCACCAATTAAGATTGCAGAGTAATCATGAGGACCCATACCATGTAACACAATGCCGACACTTCTGGTCTTCATGCACATGTGCATATACACTCACACATCACACATTTACATGAATCTTTTTAGGAGGGAACAGGAGGGGCCTGGAGAGATGGCTCAGTGGTTAAGAGCACTGATTGCTCTTCCAGAGGTCCCAAGTTCGAATCTCAGCACCCACATGGTGGCTCAGAACCATTTATAATGAGATCTGGTGCCCTCTTCTGGTATATAGGCATACATGCATGGAGAACACTGTATACATACAATAAATAAAAAGATCCTGAGTTCAAAGTTAATCTGGACTACATTAGCAGCATAAAGCTTTAGGCTTGATCCAAAGCACTCACTACCAACAAAGGGAAAAAAATAAAGCTTGCTAACCATTAATCTAGGTAACAGGAAAAAGCATAGAGATATGCATGGTGATATCCACCCATAATTCCAAGACTAGGGAAGTTGAAACAGGTTGAGGCCAACCTGGGCTACAAAGCAAGATCTTTATGTATGGTGGCACAGGCCTGTAGTCCTAGCACGTTCAAGGCCAGCTTCCACTACACAGCACATCCAAGCTACATAAAAACCTATCTCAAAAAAAATGTCTTTTTCAAACCAGCAAAATGGCTGGGCAGTTAAGTGCATTTGCTTGCCTTCAGGCCTGACACCCAGAGTCCAGTGGACATACATGGCAGGGGAGAGCCAAGTTGTCCTCTAACATCCAGACATGAACAGTGGCGTGCGCATGCACGTGCACACACACACAGTAAGAATAATTTAAGTACAAGAAATTTTCAAGATCAGCCTAGACTACATAATGGGACCTTGTCTCGTAAAATAAATTTTTAAAAACCAAGAAAGAGAAAAATATCCAGACTAACATGATGGCACGCATCTGTAAATCCCAACACATGGAAGGTAGAGACAGAAGTCACCGGAGTTCAAGGCTAGCCTGGACTACATGAGACCCTGTCCCAAAAAAACCAAAACCAGGGGGTCACAGAGATGATTCGGAAGTTAAGAATGATGACTGTAGCCGGGCGTTGGTGGCGCACGCCTTTAATCCCAGCACTCGGGAGGCAGAGGCAGGCAGATCTCTATGAGTTCAAGGCCAGCCTGATCTACAGAGAGAGTTCCAGAACAGCCTCCAAAACAATACAGAGAAACTGTCTCGAGAAAAAAAAAAAGAATGATTATTGCACTTGCAGAGAATGCAGGTTTGATTCTCGGCACCTACGAGGAGGTTCATAACAGCCTGTAACTGCAGTTGCAAGGGATCTGACACCTTGTGACCAACGAAGGCTCCTGCACACACATGGTGCATATGAACTCGTGCAATACACAGATAAATAACCAATAATCTTCTTTAAAAAGGAAACACAAGGAAAACAAAGTGAAAGACACCTCCCCCTGGGCTGGTGATGGTCTGGCTCAGTTGCTTACCTACCACACAGGCCCTAGGTTTATCTTCAGTGCCAGGGAAAAAGCAAAAACCAAAAAAAAACTCCCCATGGTCCTCATCCCAGGCCAACCAGCAACAGCCTTTCCTGTCCGGACATGTGTCCCTATACTGTGATACCTTTACAGCTAGACTCCTCACTCCTGGAAACCTAGGATATAAACCCAGAAACCCCTCTGCCCACTCTCCAGGCGGGACATGGCTCCATTTGGAGTACAAGTCTCTATTGTGGAGCCTGGCTTCTTCCAAACCCCTGTGACCAACCTGGAGAGTCTGGAGAACACCCTGAAGGCTTGTTGGGCCCGGCTACCACCGTCTACACAGGCCCACTATGGGGAAGCCTTCCTCGATTCTTGTGAGTAGCTGGGTCCATACAGAGCACATGATGGGTAAGAGAGGGCTAGAAAGGTCAGGCCTAGTAGGGAGGAAAAGGCCAGGCAGAGGGAGGTGGTCACTTCCTGAACTGGGCGACCAGCCCAGGTGATCGAAGACAGCCTAAGATGGGATGGAGGGGAGGCAGGGACCACGTGCATGCTAACTATGAGCATCTGCCAAGATACAGATCTCCAAGTACAGCGTCGCATTATGAACCGGATCTGTGACCCAGACCTAACGAAGGTGATCAGCTGCCTGGAACACGCCCTAACTGCTCGTCACCCCCGAACACGCTACAGCCCAGGCTGGGATGCCAAGCTGCTCTGGCTGCCTGCCTCCTACCTTCCAGCCAGCCTGGTGGATGCTGTGCTCACATGGGTCCTTCCCCAGCCCGCCCCGTCAGTCTACTGATTCCAGCTTTTCAGCAAGAGGCTCCTGGCACAAAGTCGGCTCTCCATAAATATGTATTGCTTTAAGAAAAAGTAGATGGGCATAAATGAAGGTACCTGTGGAAGCCTGACAAAATTTCAAATTTCTAAAAATCCTGAAGCTGCCTAGGGCAGGAACTCTCAGGCCTCTTTAGTGCCTGCAAAAATTCTGTTGTCCACTGGGGGGTGTAAGGAACTATCTTGCACTTAAAGATGACTTTTGGAGCTGCACTTGGAGAGATGGCCACCAGAGAGCACTTTCGTCCGCTTTTTCTACATGGAGTAGTGAGAATTCGTTTTGCACCTGGCAAGGCATTAGCTAATGTTTCTGGGATGAAAATGGTCAGAGCCCAATTAGGTGACTTCCATGGAAGAAGGAAATACTTAAATTCCCATTATCTAAGACAAGAATCAGGGGCACTGGCCATACAAATCTTAAACAACATAACCATCTGACAGTTGCCAGGTCTCCTTAAGGACTGAGGGGCAAGTTTGCCGGCCCTCAAGGCATCAGAAGGCCAAAAAGTTATCCAAAATAGACATGGGTCAGGTTTTACCACGTTGGCCCGTTGTGGGAACCCCTCTGACTTACACAGGAGATGGCCTCAATACACGCTCCAGGAACACTTAAGGCACACAAAACCAGGCGTCAGGGAGGGCGCTCAGACATGTCCCCCTTGATCTCCCACCAACAAAACACCCCTTTCCCAAACCCCCAAATGACCTGCCTATTGCAAGGGCAGGGACAGGGAGAAGGAAAAGGAAGGGGCCATCCATCACTAAGATAAACGGAGACCATCTCCTTTTTAGGTCTGAAAAAATAATCCGTTTAATTGAAAAATCTGGAGAATCCACTTCCTTAGATGAAAAGATGAAAGAGACCAGACCCCCCTACATTACTTCATAGCCACTCCGAATACTTTTCACCAGACAGCAAGAGAAGATAATTCCCAGGACCTACAAGGAAAGACAGAAATGAGGGTGGAGAGGCAGGGCAAGCTTCCCCAGACCCATCCAAGGCCTCTCTTCCCAGGCCAGCCCCTCCTGCTCCCCAGGTACCCTGGGCTGATTCAGACCCCCAACCCACAGCATTTCTTACCTCCACAAAAGCAATGCCCAGGGCTGCTGCAGCCACCAGCAATATATTCTTCCTCAGCCAGACCCCTATGGTCTCCACACAGCCCTGAAGGGAAGAGACAAGCATGAATACCAACAGAAAGAAACTTCCTGCTTACCTCCCCACCTCTCTTCCGGACCTGTCTCCTTCCCCCAGCCCCTTCTCCCCAGAGCTCATCCCCAACCTGATCCCGTCAGCATCTCTCCTGCCTCCTGAAACATTTCCCAGGTCTCCCTAGACCAATGTCTTCTCCCTACCTCAGTGTGGATCGTGGTTGTGTTGAAGTCAGCTCCACAGCCCACGGTGAAGTTGAGGCAGCAAGAGTCAGGGACCCGGTCCTTGGGCATACCAGTGATGTTTTCCCAGTCTGTGTAGTTGTTAGCCCCACAGCACTTAAACTAGGGTGAGGGGGGAAGGGAGGAGAGGTTGCCACATCCAAACGCCACTTAAATCAGAAACAGGAATCTTCCCAGCCTTCCCACTCACTTCTTTCTGCCAGCCGTCCAGAACCAAGGCTGTTTTGTTGTCTTTAAGGTAATTTTGCATCTGATGACGGAAGTTCTTACTAAACTCTGACTTCACCTAAGAGTAGAGAAGCAGATTGCTGAGAGCGAATTCAGGCCCTAGAGCCCCAGAATAACCGGAGACAGGGTTCCCCTTCCTCCCTGCTTACCTTGTCTCTAAACACATAGCCAGCAATGGCTACCGCCACCTCCACAAGCATGATAAGAGACAGGAAGATGGCAAACTGTAGGAGCACAGGACAGGAGTTGGGATTGAGGTCTGGATTGAAAGGGCTTGCTCTGGCCCAGTCAATTCCAGGGACACTCCTTGTGTTCCTGGCCCACCCACCTCCCCACAAAAATGCCCTCTGGTAGCCCAGGAGTCACAGTGTCCCCGCCCCACTCACTGTAATCATAAGACAGTGTCCCCGCCCCACTCACTGTAATCATAAGACAGTAGTTCTCCCTGCAGGCCCCGCAGCAGCCCACAAAGGCTACCAGGAAGAGGAAGGCGCCCACTGCGATGATGACCACAGGCAACAGGGAGCCAGGCGTAGTCTCACGGGTGATGGTCTCATTCAAGACAACCTGAACTGCTACACCAATGGCAGTCAATCCCACGGCACAGGCCTGCGGGGACAGGCGAGGGTTTGATCAGACCCTCAATCCAGCAGCCCTCACACCTGACCCCCACCAGAAAACATCCCCTGCCCTGGTATTTTGGAGACAGGGTTTCTCTGTGTAACAACGCTGGCTGTCCTGGAGCTAGCTCTATAGACCAGGTTGGCTTTGAACTCAGAGATCTGCCTGCCCCTGCCTCCCCAGTGTTGGGATTAAACACATGTGTGTGCCACCACCTGGTCTAGAAAACAAAATTTTTTTTTGAGACAGGGTTTCTCTGTGGCTTTGGAGGCTGTCCTGGAACTAGCTCTTGTATACCAGGCTAGCCTCGAACTCACAGAGATCTGCTTGCCTCTGCCTCCCGAGTGCTGGGATTAAAGGCCTGCACCACCACCGCCCGGCTTAGAAAACAAATTCTTAACACCTCCAGGATCCACTGGCTGTAAAGAAGTAGATCTGTCCATCCTTGCCCCACAGGGAAGGCTGGGGAGTTGTTGGACACTCAAGGAGAACAGACTACTCATTACTTTCTATGGACTCTCTCAGAACTGCCCCCACACTCCAGTGACTAAGGTCTTACGGCCAGCTAGGCCAGGAAGGGGAGGGGGTAAGAGTGGTCCCTGTCGGAACAAACAGTAGCTTCTTGGAGCAGGAGCAAATAAAGGTGGCCAGAGCCCTTCCTTCACCGACTGAATGAGACGACAGAGAAGAGATGAATAAACCGGGTGGAGTGGGGGTAGCCTCGTGGCGGCGATACCATCAGACCGTTGGCAGGTTGCCCCACTACCCCATATCACAAATGGTTGGGTCACCAGACAGGAAGGGCCAGGAGGGGGTTGGGTGGGGGTGCTGCCCATCAAGGGAGGCCATCGTCTGTCCAAAGTCGTCTCCGATGTCCCGGAAAGCCGGAGGGAGGGAAGGGGGTGCGTTCTGCCTCTGGCCCTTTCTTGGGGCTTTCCTTCCACATCTGGCCCCCAGCTGCCTTCACTCCTAGGTCCCTCACCCCTCACAGCTCCCGCTCCGAGACTCCGCGCACCCCGCCGGCGTGCCCCGTCCCTCTGTCCCTCTTCCCCCCACTACTCACGAAAAAGGCCAGCAGGAGAACGTAGAGCAGGAACTTGACACACCTCATTCCTCCTTCCACCGCCATGGCTGCTGGGCCTGGGGCCGCGGAAAGCACGGAGATGAGAACAGAGAGAGGGGACACCGGCTCCGCAGCTCGCCGCCGGCCCTCGCAGCCTTCCCTGCGCGGCCCCCATAGCGGCCCTTCCCACCCGGAAACCAGCGGTCAGGTCCACGTCTCCCTGCCCCCTCCACCCCGCGGCGGCGGCGGTGTCTGCTGGACAGGGGTGGGGGGCGCGCGGCCGCTCGCTCGCCCGCCCGCCCGCCCGCCCGCAGCCTCGGGATCCCAGGACGCACGGAGGGCGCGGCCGGCCGAGCTCAGGGCAGAGCCCGACCCCCGCCGGCCGGTCCTCGGCGGGATCCTGGCTCCGATCCCCGCCGGCCGCCGCACAGGCCGCGACCCGGGACCCCCGCCGACTCCGGGCCCCCCTCGGGAGTCCCGGGTGCGGCGCGGCTAGCGCCCCGCGGGCGTCGCGAACTTCCAGGCGAAGTTGCTCGAGGGCCCGCCCCAGGGGCGAGCGCGGTGTGCGGGGACTGCTCTCCCGCGGCTGGGGGCCCGGTCCCCCCCGGGGTGCCCCCGGGGTCCCTCCGCACGCGCCAGCCCCAGCCTCACCTGCGCTCCCCGACGTTTCCCGATGCTCTCCGGCCGCGGTTCAGCCGCCGTCCCCCGCGCCCCCCTGCTCGCGCCCCGCCTGCCGCGCGGCCCCGCCCCGGCTCCAGCCAGCCCCCTCCCCCGCGGGGTGGCCGCCAGCCTCCCTCATGTGACGCGGGAACAGCTGCGGCCTGAGTCACCCGGGCTCACGAGGAGGGGTGGGGGAAGGCGAGCCCCCCGCCCGGGCGAGGCCACGTGGCTCCTACCCGGAAAGCTCGAGCCTGGAGCTAGCTGGACCTCAGGGTTCCCGGGGCCCTCACTGGAACCCGGCGCCGTCCGGTTCTCTCTGGTTCCGGAACGCTGAGTAGGCGAGTGAGACCCGGAGGACGAAGGCAGAGATGAGGTCAAGTGTCAAAAGGGTCTTCTGCAGACCTCAACGCATCCGCCGGGAACCATGCACCTCCCGCCCCCTTGCCCGACCCTGCAGAAAGCTGGGGACTGATGGAACTGGGTGGGGCCAGAATAAACACTTTCAGAAAATCCCTGGTTTCACGTCCTAGGAGTCACTCAGTCAACTTCCTAGACTAGGGTTTTCTGCCCCTGCTTCTCCATTTCCTGGGACTCCTGGGCTGAGCAAACCGGAGGAAGCCCTGTTCTAGAGCCGTTCCACGTCACTTAGAAGACGTCAGAGCCTGGGCGCTCTTGGGGAAAAAATAACGCCTGCGCTCCCTGCTCCTGAGTCGTGAGACTCTAAGGCTAACGAGGCTTTTATCGAGGAGACTTCCCTGTCTTCCCTTCAGAAATGGCAAAGCCACCTCGCTTTAATCCCAGCACTCGGGAGGCAGAGGCAGGCGGATCTCTTCTGTGAGTTTGAGGCCAACCTGGTCTACAGAGTGAGTTCCAGGACAGCCAGAGTTACACAGAAAAACCCTATATCAAAAAAAAAAAAAAGAGAGAGAGAGAGAGAGAGAGAGAGAGAGAGAGAGAGGAGGGGAGGAGAAGGAAGGAAGGAAGTGAAAGCCAGGTGAAGGCAGGAGCTAGAAACACCTCCCTCCCCGGGCGGTGGTGGTGCACGCCTTTAATCCCAGCACTCAGGAGGCAGAGGCAGGCGGATCTCTGTGAGTTCAAGGCCGGGCTGGACTGACAGCCTCCAAAACAATACAGAGAAACCCTGTCTCGTAAAAAAAAAAAAAAAACCACCTCCCTCCCTTGTGCCATTGACGGTTCGCAGATGGAGCTGTTGTGAACCACTAAAAGGCAACCAGCCTTCACACTCCTAGCCTGAGCTCTGTCCTTTTCACAACAGCTCCTTCTTCGAGTTGCTTACGGAGTCTGAAGGGAAGAAACAAGTAAAACCAAGGGCCAGCCTGGTGGCACATCTGTAATCCCAGCGCTTTCAAATCTTTGGTGTTTTGGGTTTTTTTGTTTGTTTATTTGGTTTTGGTTTTTCGAGACAGGGTTTCTCTGTGGCTTTGGAGCCTGTCCTGGAACTCGCTCTGTAGACCAGGCTGGCCTCGAACTCACAGAGATCCACCTGCCTCTGCCTCCCGAGTGCTGGGATTAAAGGCGTGCGCCACCAACGCCCGGCTCTGGTGTTTTGTTTTTTAAGACAGGGTTTGTCTGTGTAGCCCTGGCTGTCCTGGAACTCTATAGACGCTGACCTCGAACTCAGATCCACATGCCTCTGCCCCTGGCTCCTGAGCGCTAGGATTAAAGGCTTTCTCAGGCCCCACGTTGGATGTCAAATGTAGGGTTTTTTGTTTGTTTGGTTGGTTGGTTGGTTTTTTCAAAACAGGGTTTCTCTGTATTGTTTTGGAACTCGCTCGGTAGACCAGGCTGGCCTCACAGAGATCCACCTGCCTCTGCCTCCTGAGTGCTGGGATTAAAGGCGTGTGCCACCAACCCCGGCCTAGTTTTTTTTTTAATTATTATTCTTTGCTCTTTGCTCTTGGGGGCAACTCGGCTCCCAAATAAATACACGAAGACTTGTTCCTTCTTAGGAATGCCTGCCTTAGTTTGGCTTGTTTCTAGTGTGTGTCTCCCTCACTAAATCCTTCAGGAAAGCTTTGAATTTCTTAAATCCTGTCTTTTGCCTTTGGGCTTTTACTTTTCTGTATACCTTTCTTTACGTCTTACTCTGTAGCTTGCTGTGTAGCTGGGTGACTGGCCCCTGGAGTCCTCTCTCCTCCTCCTCCTGTCCCTGGATATTCCATCTTCCCAGATTTCTCCTCCTATTTTTTCTCTCTTCCAGGCCTGCCTGTCCTTTCTCCTGCCTGGCTATTATTGGCCATTCAACTCTGTATTAGACCATCAGGTGTTTTAGACAGGCAAAGTAGCACAGCTTCACAGAGTTAAACAAATGCAATGTAAAAGAATATAACACATCTTTCTATCATTAAACAAATACACCACAGCAAAAACAAATGCAACACATTTTAAAACAATATTCCACAACACCTAACGTTCTTTCCTGACTTCCCATGCATACATAGACATATACCACACATAACAGAGAGAGGCAGTATGTCTGAAAATAGATAGACCTTGGCCTGGTGTTGTGGCACATGTCTTTAATCCCAGCACTTGGAGGCAGAGGCAGGTGGATGTCTGTGAGTTCTAGGACAGCCTGGTCTACAGAGGGAGTTCCAGGACAGCCTCCAAAACAATACAGAGAAACCCAGTCTCGAGAAAAAAAAATAGACCATCATGTTAGGTGAAAGCCAGTCTCACAAGCACAGGCATCACATGTTTTCTCCTATGTGGACTCCCTATTTTTAAAGGACATGAAAGTAAACACAGGGTTACTGTTAGGGGTGTGGAAGAGAAAAGAAAACAGAGGATGAATAAGAGGGAATAACAGGGGTGTGGGAGAGATGGCTCAGTGTTTAAGAGCACTGACTGCTCTTCCAGAGGACCCAGGTTCAATTCCCAGCACCCACATTGAAGCTCACAACTGTCTATAACTCCAGGATCCACCATCCTCACACAGACATATATTCAGGCAAAAACACCAATAAAATTTCAAAAGGGAGGGGAACAATAGGGGTAAATATTTATATATGAGAATGTCATAAGGCCAGGCTGGCAGTGGTGGCACACACTTTTGATCCCAAGGAGGCAGAGGCAGGTGGATCTCTGCATTCAAGGCCAGCCTCGTCTACAGCACAAGTTCCAAGACAGCCAAAGCTACACAGATAAACCCTGCCTTGAAAAAAATCAAAAGAGAAAAGAAAGAAACGTCATAATGAAAACCCCTAACAATGTCGCCTCATCCAGCACCGCTTGAATCCTGAAGACCTGACTGGGGTAATGAGGGAAGGAAGAAAGGACGGGACATATACTGGAAAGCTGAGATCGGGCGGGGCACATGCACTCTCTGAGGCAGACACACCAGTATGCGATGCAGGAGCTCAGCAGAGGGGGGGGGCGGGCGGGGTGCCTGTAAGGGAGCAGTCTCAGGCTCTGAACATCAGGTGGGAGGAAGCTGCTGTTTGATACTCTGTGAACTCGGCCAGCAGGCACACAGGGATTCCCTGAGCCTGACTTGGGGAGAAGCTTTGCGGAGTCCTGTGGGCCTGCGGCATTGGGGTCTTTAACATGGCTGCTCTCGTTACTCACTTCATCGGCCCCTCACACATTCGCCAGGATCTACTTCAGGTCCCACACAATGTAAATCTACTATGAAAAAAAAAATGCAAAGATAAGGCGATGGTCTGAGCTGGCAGAGTTATGCCCTCCCAGGAGAATACACCAGGCACATTCTAGACCTGGCTCTCTCTTATCATGAAGGATGTGGAGGAGGAGTCAGGACGCCTAAGAAAAGAGTATTCAAGAGTTTTCTTATTCTTCCACTAGACGCCAGGCCTGTGCTGGGCATGGGGCAGCCAGGAGAGGAAGAGAATGGTTCTGTCCTCTCCCAGAAGGCAGAGTCATGTTCTGTGCACACGGGAGGGCAGAAACTCCTGGTGAGCCACAAGAGCTCAGGGAGAGAGTGGGTTCCTCAGAGGTGGGTAGTATCCTCCAAGGCAGCCTTGATGAATAAAGGCAGAACTCTCAACTTCGGGACTGGGCGAGGAGTGAGAATTAGAGACAACAGTGGTTACTAGGCTTGGAGGGAGTGTCTCAGTGGTAGAACACTGGGTTGCATCTCTACCAATGCAAAAAAAAAAAACCCACAAAATAAAATCTGCTAGCTTTAATAGTGATATGATAATGCAGAGAAATTAGTCCAAGTCTCTAAAGATGGACTAAAATATTGAAGAGTGCCATGTCACGCCTGTACTGCATTTGGAATACTTTGGAACAATAAATGTAGGTGAAAGGGGACTAGTAATAGGATGGTGACACAGAGAAACCCTGTCTCGAAAAACCAAAAAAAAAAAAAAAATAGGATGGTGAGTTCTATTACTAGTTGTTATTAGTTCTACTGCCCAAGGCCACCTTGGGTATGTCCCAATGGCAAACATGATGGTAATGGGAAGCTTTTGAGACGGTGGTTCTAGTCTGGGCTTCCACTAAATGAATGGACACATGGAAGACACTGATATGACAGCCATCACCCACCAGAGAGAGAAGATGCGGCATCAGTCAGGAAAGGAGATGACCACCAAACGTAGGAAACTCCAGACTGCCATCCAGATGGCTACATCCTATCAGAAGTTGCATTTGAAACTCCGGAGACAAGGGACAGCCTAGAGACAAAAGCTGGTGCGTCCATGTTACTGGGGAATCACCTGAGTCAGTATTTCAGAACCAGCCTGGATATCATGTCAAGACCCTGTTTCTGAAGCATTAGTTAATTCATCTATAGATGGATGAGCAAGGAGGAAAAAAACAAAGAGCCTATGGAGTCTTTACGTTTAAAAAAGACACAGTGTGGACTAAGGAGTCAGTAAAGAGCTTGCTATTTCTCTACACACACCTCCACACCCATGCATACACCTCCACACACAAGCACACACCTCCACACCCATGCATACACCTCCACACCCATGCATATACCTCCACACACAAGCATACACCTCCACACCCATGCATACACCTCCACACCCATGCATACACCTCCACACCCATGCATACACCTCCACACCCATGCACACACCTCTACACCCATGCACACACCTCCACACACAAGCACACACCTCCACACCCATGCATTCACATCCATACCCATACCCGTGCACAGAGGAAATGGAAACGGGTCAAAGAAGCCGGTAAAGGGGCTAAAAGGGAGAGGACACGGCAGGGTCGGGCCTCTTCACTATGCCAGGCTTTGTGCTAACAACCTTCCCAGGTTCTCTAAGGGTTAATCCTCACAACAAACCTTCAGGTCAATGTTGTCATGTTTGTTTTACAATTATTTATATTGTGTGTGTGGAGGTCAGAGGGCAACTTCTAGGAATCGGTTCTCTCCTTCCACCATGTGGTCTTCAG